AAAATAAAAAAGATGTTTACTCACCGAATATTTAACCAGAAAACACAAAAGAGGCGATAAATAGACAGAATAACTTACAGTTTCCGTAGTTCGTGTCACATACAAACCGATTATTACACTCACAAACACTTATAAGCGATTTATCTATTTTTATAAGCAAAAACTCCCGAGAGCTCCGTACACTAGCACTACACCGTGCGGGGCGGGGGGGGAAGTGAGGGGGGAAGGGTACTTCTATCATTAGAATAACGATACAGTTGACTACATACCAGACTACACACATATTGACGCAAAATAGCACTTATTATAACGATAAATGATGCAAAAATCCTTGATATTCTGTCTGTATAAATTAAGAATAGTCACCTGTTTGTAAGCGCCGCTCTCGTCGAACATATACCGGTCGGACAGCACCTGCGTGGAGTAGTAGTCGGCCAGCAGACACAGCAGGCAGCGGCGGTCCCAGTCGTCGGTCACGCGCCCGCCGTAGTTTATGTGCCCGGCGGTGTAAGTCAACATCTGGGAGGCAGACGGGTTATTATATTCTCTCTTTCTCACCACTGCAATAATATAGACTTCTTTGTTTCGCAAAGTTGGAGACAGATGACTGAAAGTAACCCTTTTAAAAATAAGGGCCCGCGCCAACGGCGATGTTTTGTAGGGATGCAATCGCGCTGCTGTAGCGCGTTAGTAGCGCGTTGGAATCACTTCTGTAGGGCGTTGCAAAGAGGGCTATCGTTCTTATACTTAACAGTTGGCACCCCTGGCGATTGACAGGACCTTACTCTACGGTGGCGCCATCTTGATGAGTGCAAATGCGATAGTCCTCCTACCACTTTAGCGATCACAAGTTGGCGCCACTGTCTTCGCGACTAGCAAGTGACAGGACCTTACTCTACAGTGGCGCCAACTGGTGAGCGCTAAAACGATAGCCCTCAATGCGACTAACGCGCCTTAGTAGCGATGCTGTCACTCGTTTACGAAACGCGCGACAAAAAGTCGTCGTGGGCGAGGGCCCTAACATATACGTTCGTTCGTTTCAGCCAAATGACGTCCACTGCTGGACAAAGGCCTCCCCCAAGGATATCTACAACGACGGGTCCTGCGCCGCCCGCATCCAAGCACCTCAACATTCACCAGATCGTCGGTCCACCTAGTGGGTGGCCAGCCCACACTACGTCTTCCAGCCCGTGGTCGCCACTCGAGAACTTTTCTGCCACAGCAGTCATCAGCTCTGCGAGTTATGTGCCCCTCCCACTGCCACTTGATTTTAGCCATTCTGTGGATAGTGTCGGTCATTTTGGTCTCCTGCGGATCTCTTCATTAAGCTATAACTGCTTCACATTCTTGTGACGTAACAAGAAGGAGCCGAGAATAAATAGAAAAGTGAAGTGAGTAACGAAGCGAATGAAAAAAAAATGGTGAATAGCTCACCCTTAACGGCACCTCGGTGTACTCAGTAAGGAACATATGAAGCTGTGAGATGCAGATGCGTAAATCGCCGTCGGTAAACTCGTAGGGGATGTTGAAGCCGAGCGGCCCGAAATTGCGCCGCTCTAGGCACCACTGACTTACTTGACTGAAGGTCCTATGTCCCCTAGATGGGGCAGAGGGCGTCCACAACAGTCCTCCATCGCGTTCGGTCTTGATCTTCGGGTTTGATCTCGCTCCAGGTCTTGCCGATTTTCTTCGCCTCGTCTGCTACAGTGCGCCGCCAAGTTTGCTTGGGGCGACCACTTTTGCGTTTTCCTTGGGGGTTCCAATCTAGAGCCTGCTTGGGGATGTGATCGGGATCCCTTCGGAGAGTGCGGCCGATCCAATTCCACTTGCGGCGTTTTATATGCTGGTCGATCGGAATTTCGTGGCAGCGTTCCAATAGCTCGTCGTTGGAAATTTTCTCGGGCCAGTATATGCCGAGAATTTAAGTGCTACTAGTCAGTAAAGCGCTACAACTCTAGCGAATAGTCAAGAACTCACCCTTAACGGCACCTCGGTGTACTCAGTAAGGAACATATGAAGCTGTGAGATGCAGATGCGAAGATCGCCGTCCGTAAACTCGTAGGGGATGTTGAAGCCGAGCGGCCCGAACTTTCGCCGCTCAAGAACCACACCGTGGAATAAACACAGCGAGAATAGCAGCCACTGGGCAGAACAATAAAGCTCATTTATTTATGCAAGTGGGCTTTTAAAAAGCACTTTTACACGTCCCAATATTAACCCTACCACTGCTTTAGGACAATAAATGGGCCAGTGCTAACACCCAGTTCGTGACACGCAAAGTAGCCAAAAAGTTCACAAGACGTCTTTGTTACATTTGGAATAAGGTTTTTGGCCACTTTGGGTGTCACTCAGGAACTATTTGACGCTAACTTCACCACAGGCAAATGGAAGAAATGAGGGTTTTCCCGAATAAAAAATCCGCCAGATGGCAATACGTAGACGCGAGGTTCAAATGCTGCAGGATTGGTTATTTTTGACATGACATTAACAGATATGTCAAAATCCACCAATCACGCCAATCACCATCTAACGGTGACCTTTCATTCGCGAAAACCCTCATTGTTTAGGAACATGGTAATAACATAAAAGTTATCTTCTTTTATGTGGGAATGTTACAATGAGGTAACAAAGATCGACTGATAGATTCAGTGCTACTGAGCTAAAAATTACAGAAAACACAAAGCTACTAAAGTAGCAACTACAGTTATACTTGCTATTTTCAGTAACCAGATTTAGAACCTTGAAATTAGGAACTTTGCTGTCCGAAGAGTTGAAGTAATCCGCAAAGTCAGGCACTTGGTTCATGTAGGCCTTCAGCAAGTTCGCCTTGATTCCTCTAGGTGGCTCCACTGTCATTTTGTAGCCTGCGTTTTGGATTTTGGTCGATATAGGATGCAACGGGGCGTCTTAGCTAGCTCAGTCTGACACCCCGCTGTTTAGTACTAAGTCCCGGTTCGCCTTCTGCGATGAGGGATGTGTACCTATCCGGGATGCCTACAGGGATACTCGACCAAGGAAACGCACAATCAATAACACAATGGCACTTATAATTCACAATAGTTTACTTATTCTAGTTTCACTGACTCTAAATTACTATTATTTATACAATGGGTAAGTTATTCCACAATTGCAAATCTACTATGACAAGAGGGATAGCGACGCGCCCGGTTCGCGTCCCGAGACTAGTTTACGTATCCGTGAGAGGGGCGGCGCCCTGTGCGAGGTTTAGCAAGTGTTAGTTTGGATACTTATAAACTAGGGGGGTAGGATGGTCCGCTCACCAAATCGGTAACCGAGGTCAACGAAGTGGGGGTTCGAGTACCAAAGGTAAAAAGGCTTGGGACCTACGTGGCGAGTGGGGAGGAATCCAGGAAGGGTGGCAGCGGGATTGCTACCGCAGGTCGGGATTGAGTAAAGCATGTACTCGGTAAGGATTGGAATGTGTATACAGGCAACNAGAGGGATAGCGACGCGCCCGGTTCGCGTCCCGAGACTAGTTTACGTATCCGCGAGAGGGGCGGCGCCCTGTGCGAGGTTTAGCAAGTGTTAGTTTGGATACTTATAAACTAGGGGGGTAGGATGGTCCGCTCACCAAATCGGTAACCGAGGTCAACGAAGTGGGGGTTCGAGTACCAAAGGTAAAAAGGCTTGGGACCTACGTGGCGAGTGGGGAGGAATCCAGGAAGGGTGGCAGCGGGATTGCTACCGCAGGTCGGGATTGAGTAAAGCATGTACTCGGTAAGGATTGGAATGTGTATACAGGCAACGATGGTTCGCTCGTGTCACGGAAACCGCGCGAGCCGAAAGTCCTATCGAGCCAGGTTAGTGGGAACAGTGAGGGTAGCTATTCGCTAGAGACTCTTGCGTAATTAGCCGTAGACGCGCGCGCGATCGTCTGGCTGTTACGATGGCTCCCGAGCGAATGCTAGGCTCCCGCGGTCGCCGCCGTCTCTTATATTAGCTCGGTCCGTGCGGCGTGCGGCCGCGCAGCCGTAGGGTTGTCAAAATCTCTGCGCTGGGTGCTAGGGCTGTCGATGCGTCGCGAGGCGCGTCACAAGGATAAGCGGGGTCTTAAATTCTCTACTATTTTAGATACACGTTTACAAAAAATCCTACTCATCTATACAAAAACTGAGAAGTAATATTTTAGGGTTTGTATTTATAGCTATTATATTAATAAAACAAAGAAGAAGAATTTAATGTACGTACCATTCTGCAGTAATGCTACTGGGAAGTGTGGGGAAGGCATAGCGGTCAGCCACAGACGGAAATCCTGTTAAATTATTTTAATTATTAAAATATTATAGTTATTTGACTTTACTCTCCTTAACATTCTAAGGATTCTTAGAAAAATCTTATTACTGGAGGAAAAAGAGCTACTTTTGCAGAAAAAATTACGTACCTTATGAACCAATTCCGGTTGAATATGCTCGACATTTAATTCCAGCACCGGCATCCAAGATGGCGACAAATGGCAGTTCTAAAAACAAAACATTTGATAATTATACACATTTGCAATGGGTTTTACACAACTTAGTAACTGAGATCAGGTCATTTAGTATCCACTTCATTAGACGACAATTTTAAGAGCTGGGGTGGCCTGATCTTCGTATTTTTGTCCTTTACGACATGCAGAGAAAAGTGAAAGTATTTTATCTTATTCTACTTTGCCTGCGGATTTGTGGATGAAGAATGAATTTATAGGGATAAGTTCACATCAACGTACTGTCATTGGTCGCACGTTCTATAATTGGCCTATGCACGCACGTTGATCGCCATCACCGATGCGATCTGCACGCGTTGGTTTGGTCGATGCTTAGCATTGTGACGCAGCCGCCTAACAGCATAACGCTATATGCGAACTACGGCGTTTATAGGAGCCCATAGGCGTTTATCACACTGCGCCGCGCTCCGCCGCGGTCCGCGTGATTTCATATAAAAAATCCCGCGCGCAGACGCGTTGTCAGTGCAGTGTGTTGTGTAGCGCGTGTTTTCTATACAAACTGAGGTACTTGCATACAATCATTAAATCTGTCGTCCCGCGTACCGCGGCGGAGCGCGGCGCAGTGTGATAATCGCCATAGTCTGACCTGGAAGAACACCCAGTTGCCGAAGTCGCAGCCGACTCGCATCATGGCCTCGGCCAGCGGGCCCTGGCCCTGCCCGAGCGAGATGCTCTCGAAGCGCTTGCCCATCTTCATCTTGTCAGCAAATTTCAGCAGATCTGCACATTACAATCTCTATAATTTCCTATCTCTAAATTCCACATTGCCGTTTCAGTTAAATGCCACTGCTAGACAAAGACCTCGCTCAATGCTTTCTACAATGACCGGTACCGCGCTGCTCGCATCCAGGTACTTGGCGCGATCATCACCTGATTGGCGGTCCACCTAGTGGGAAGCCTGCGTCTACATACGGGCCCGTCGTCTCCACTTGAGAATTTTATGTGCCTATGGCCATCAGCTCTACAAGCTTTGTGCCCCGCCCGCTGCCACATGATTTTAGTAATCCTGCGGACCATGTCGGTCACTGGTTTTCCTATGGATCTCCTCATTTGTGATTCACGCAGCGAAACTCCGAGCATAGCATGCTCCATCGCCCTTTTGGGTGACGTTTAGCCTTCTTATGAATGCATATGCGGTTCAACCGTAAAGTTAATATACCTAGCGGAATAGAGCAACAAAGGACTGAGTGAGCGAGATGTCACTAGTAGCAACACTTTAACGAACAAATACTGGAGTAGGTTACTTGTATGCTTACCTAAAGGTTTCAGACGATCAAGCACGGAAGTGGGCAAGACGATCGAGACTGCTGTAGCCTGACGTCACTACTTGAAAATTGAAATTTTTTCTCTCCGGACATGCTATTTGTAACACCATTGTAACACCATATTAAATACTTGTTTCATGATTATTATTTTATTTCTAATGACATCATAATTATATATTTGACACTAATTGAAATTGAATTATATGTTTAGACGACCAATACTGCTGGAATTTATTTACTTTTTATTTTTTTATTTATTTTTTGTTTGTAGGTGCGCGTGTAACGCTCGGAACAATATGGGATGAACTAAATTGTCGAATCGCGCGCAATCAATCATTCGATTGCACAAACCGGTTTTGCGGGCGTCGAGACACTCAACAACGCGTAACAATGTCACTCTTTACGAATATTACACATTAACACAATTACTACACACACACCTATACAAACAGTTTTATCTTTTTATTAGTATTCTTTTCATTAGTATTCTTAATAAACGTAGTCATATCATCCTTACCGATTTCCCGCCTTTTGTATTTATCTGTGCACTAATATTACTATTTATGTATGTTTATCTAGACAATTTTGTGCAGCTTTTTTATTTTTTATTTTATTTTACCAATGGTCCGTGACCCTCATTTTATTAGGGAATCTCTCATGTGTGTGCTGTTGTTTGTCTTGTTTTATTTGTAATTTATTTTATTTGTGATGCCCACATAAATTTGTTTAGGTTGTCAACTTACATACTATTATGTTAACCATTATAACAGAGCGTACTACTCTATATGAGGTTAGTTTACATGATGTTAGGTTACATATTTTTTTGTGTTGCAACTCTTATTTTGTATATTATGTTGGGACAAGTAAGTAACATTTTTTTTGTTAGGTTATATTTATTTTATACCTACACTGCTTTTGGGCTTTATAGCTTATAACTTTTAGTTACTTACTTTAGTTATCTGTTTTTTCATACAAGACAAACACAGTTTTAGTTATAATTTTAGTGTTTATTCATTTGTACTCATAATATGTAAGTACATAATGTATTTTAAAGTACCTACCTGGATATTTTGTTAAATAATGCTAACTAAAATCTTTAATTATTGTTTATGCACTATTCCCTGTGTTTTGTGTTTTGTTGCGATGACGTCCAATTTATATTGTGGCCAGCGACATTTTTGTTCTGTGGTTTTTAACCCAGACATTTTTTCTAGGGATGACATGTGTTGAAATATACACTTTCCCTAGGGCCCACTGGATGGCTATTCCAGAAAATATGTTAGTAATGGCCGAAATAGCCTTACAACGTTACTGGGGATTCGAGTACCACTGGTTCACAGTTGGGACTCTATGGGGAATTCTGAATGCAGGTNTTGTAGCGTTGCAATTTTGGCTGTTTTCACAAATTGATATTTCTTCTCGATATTTGGATTTAGGATACCACTAGCGACATCTATTGGCGTGATTTAGAATTAATTTGCAATAGATGGCGCTTTTTGCTCAGTCAATTCAAATATATTTTATTGAAACATTTCCTAGTGTTTTTATATTGATTATTCTATTTTTCAAATGGAATATTTTCAGTGTTCTGGAAATTGTTTTCATCATGGTTTTATTAGTACAGTATTTACTTTTTCAAACGGCGAAACGAAACGTATCGCGATGTCTATGACAGAGCGGCTGTCAGTGGAGCTGTCAAATCACTTAGGAATTTGTCGATCGTGCGCAACCGCAATTTGATTATTTTCGGGGATGTAATCCCCTGTGTTTTAAATCGTGTGTTGCAGAATGCATCCACGATAATTTCATAATATAATTTAAAATAATCACACATGAGGTAAGTTCCCGTCGGAGAATTTATTTATTTTTCGTGATTGATATTTTTCGTATTCCAGTACGTGGTATTTTATGTGATGGTTTCTTCCAGAAATTCCCTAAATTCTATTCGGATGAGGGTATTGGGTTGCTGAGGGCTGCGAGCGAAGCTCAAATTAGTGAACAGCCTTCATGCGGGATTTCAAATTTTATATTTCATAGATTTCATATTTTACATTTTGATATTTCATATATTTTAATTTCTCTTCATTTCGTATCAAATATTTGTCCTTTCTAAAATGCTGATCTCTTCGCATTTCCTCCTTGTCATCAAACCTCTGTCTCTGCAAGAGTTTGAACGCTTACCTGTCAAAGGGATGCAAGAGTTTCATCTGGCACTGCGCGCTTGAGGCCGTGGAGGACGCTGCTTGTAACCTAAAAGTGTGCGAGACCCGTTGGACCCCGGAAGAAGAGAGGAACGTTCAGGGTAACGGCTTATAACCGCATGGCTTCCAAGGTACCCACTTTTCCATCCTTCAAGTAGGAGTCTTTCCGACCTGACATCGTGCAGTTATCTTAACTATTAGAGTCTTTTAATATTTAGGCTGAGTTTTAAGAAATTTGTAGTGGCAATAATATTCACCAAACCGAACCTAACTAACGACCCTGAATCCCTTGAGATTGGCACTATTACAGTAGTTATTATAATATCGTAATTGTTAACTATATATGAGCATACGAGATAAAAATAAATTGTGTCAATTGAGAGGGAGCTGTTTTATTTACATTTCTAATTACAACACAAGGAACGGTAACTTATATAAATTTCTGCAAGCCGGACAACCTCTTTTTTCACGTGCAGACAATTCACCATCTTCTCCGTCTGCACCGGTGGCGGTTCAATTCCAGTCACCAAGCCGCCAGGAAAAAAATATTTTCTTGCAACCCTCACTCGGCATGGGGCACACTGAAAACCAGCGCCGTGGCCTTCGTCACCGTGGGCCACGGCATATGCTGAGTGGGGTCCCGTTGCAGTGGGCATCTGGTTGGTGAATGGGTGGCACTGCTCAGTTTACTCTTGTTTTTATTTTTTCTTCTTTTATTATTATGTGCCACTGTCATGTCTATGTAATTGCCTGTATTTGTGTGATGTCCACTGTAATAAATGTATCTTTCTTTCTTTCTTTCTTTCTTTCTTTCAACACTCTGTGATAAAAAGAGATGCGTGATGCGACGTAACAGAACCATTTTTTGTAAATATTTGACAGTTCATTAGCATTCACTGGCACGCTGAAAATTTGAGCTTTGAGATTTTTTCAGATTCTACGTGAGTGATATCGAAGATGGATTCAACAGCTTGTCCTAAATCCTAAGCAACTTGTTCGTTCGTTTCAGCCAAATGACGTCCACTGCTGGACAAAGGCCTCCCCCAAGGTTTTCCACAATGAACGGTCCTGCGCTGCCCGCATCCAGGCTCTTCCCGCGACCTTTACCAGATCGTCGGTACACCTAGTAGGAGGCCTGCCCACGCTACGTCTTCCAGCCCGTGGTCGCCACTCGAGAATTTCCTGCCCTTGGAGCAACTTGTACAAGCTGTAATAAACTCTCACCAGCAGCAGGGTCGGTGCCAGTAGAAAGTACGAAAATGATGGGCGCTAGCGGGTCGGACTCCGCGTATAGCGCCGCTAAGTCAGCTGGCTGTGGTTCGACGAAGCGCCCGCCCAGGCCCACCACCACGTAATCCTGGAAAACAAGTCCAAACTAATAATACAAATGAGAAAGTAACTCCATATTCCGACTGTCACGACTGCGTGTCTGCCGTGAACGTGGGATAAATAAATGATACACGTCGTATTTAGTAAATTCCGGTTTATTGGCGCAGCGTCAAAGTCAAAATTTCTTTATTTGTTTAGAATAATAAATAGTTCTTACAAATCATCATTTGGCTCTTAAGGAGCCTCTACATGTCTCAGAATCTGTTTACCCTACCAGCGCTTCGAGACCAACATTTGGCAAGTGCTGAGAAGATCCGATCCGATCAATGCGCCTGCGCCTCCACAACTGACTCATACATACCGGGAATAACACATACAATTACACATACATAGATAGGTGGTACATAATAATAGGTAATACGACCCCACACGACCAATTCGTGTGCGATTTTTCTTTGGGGAAACAGATAGTGGTGATGGTGGTGGAGAAGGTATTAAGACGTCAACGGGTAGCGAGTGGTGTAGCGGGGAAGAATCATAATTTCATGTCATGTGTTACATGACATGAAATTATGATTCTGATTCTGATGAAACTGCTACGTGCTATGACTCAACCTCATCCTCGCCACCGCCTGTCCACCGCAAGACGGTCGCACACGAAGTTGTCGGACTATGGCATCTTTTTACGCTTAAACCCGCGACATCCTGCTCACTCTGCTCTTGAGTGAGCAAGATGTCGAGTTTGCCGCGCGAGCCCGTTCGCCCAGTAGTGTGGACGCACCATTATGGTAGTCTGGTTTGCGAATAGCCACATCACAAGGCAAAAGACAATGCCGGAAATTGGCGTCTTTTTTTTTCGCGCGGCCATCGACTAAACCTTGTTTTTTGATTACAAAATAGTGTAATAAACCAAACTTACTATGACATGTGTACCTCTAAACTCAGTCTAAACTGAGTTACGAGCGTTAGAAGTTTGATGATTTACATACTAGATTTGCTTTTTGCGCACAAGTTTTGTGTGAAATTGCAACAAAATAGTGACATTGTATGTGTAAACAAACAATACCATCCATTATATGCTCCAGACATCAGTGTGGGGTAGAATCAGCGCAATAAAAAAATAGCGGAATATTTTGTTGCAATTTCTTACAAAACTTGCGCGCAAAAAGCAAATCTAGTATGTAAATCATCAAACTTCTAAAGCTCCTAACTCAGTTCAGACTGACTTTAGAGGTATACATGTCATAGTAAGTTTGGTTTATTATTTTGTAATCAAAAAACTTTGGTCGATGGCCGCGCGAAGAAAAAAAGACGCCACCTTCCATACAAAATCTGGCATTGCCATTTACACAACAATAACTACACTTACCTGGAGACCTGGAACCAGCTTGTCAGGCCGCAAACACTTCAAAACCAGCAACTTCTGGAAAGCGTCCAGTTGAGTGTCCAATGGTTTCGGGAATGGGAGCCTGGAAACGATAGTAAAGGTTAATTTATATTTTCCAATATTGGTACTACATACATGGCACTGTAGTCTGGTCGGCGAGCACGTAGAATTTTGTCCAATGACCCCAAGCTACCCATCCTTATAGCTCGCGCGTAATTATGTTGCCGCCCGTCGCACAGTCGCGACAGCAATATAATTACGCGCGAGCGATATGGATGGGTAGCTTGGGGGCATTGAACAAAATTCTACGTGCTCACAGACCGGGCTTTAGCTGGTTTTGGAGGCTTACTTGTGCGGGTTCCAGGCGTCATAATAAGTCCGGAAGAACTTGATCTGGTTGGGGAAGTCTTCCAGCACGAACTGCTTCATGGTGGGAATGGAGGCCAGCTGCTGCATGTCCAGCCACATCCTCTCTGACACCCACTTCGGTTCGGGGTTCTCCAGCTCCTGTCAAGTCCAAAGTTAGAAGTGATTTGAAAATTATACATAACTTGTAAAAATCGAATCGCTGTCGCGACTGTGCGACGGGCGCCCGCAGTGAGTGTGCGAGTGCGACAGTAACATAATTACGCGCGAGCAATAAAAAATGGGTAGCTTGGGGTCATTGGACAAAATTCTACGTGCTCGGAGACCGGGCTTTACTTTTGGTAATGACTTACACAAATGCAAAATACATCGTGTGTATCTCACCTCCTCAATCTTAGCCCCGTTCAGCAAGAAGTTGAACTCTATGAGCCTGATCGCGCCGCGGTCGAGCAGAATTCGCGCGCACAGCAGAAACGCGAACAACAGCTTGTGCCTCTCAAACAGACTGCGGCACACGTTCACGTATAGCAAGAAAGTGAAGTGCTCGATTATTATGTACACGCGTTCCATTATGTCCTCTGCAACAAAAATACATTTTTTTATCCACAACGAGAAAGCTCTTGGCCTGTATCTCACCTGATGGTAAGTGACGATCAGGCTGAAGGTGGAAGCGAGCTTCACCCGGAATCCTCAACCACGGAGGAACTTGCTATCTTACCTCTAACTGCCGGAACACAACACTGCTGTTAACATTGTTGTTATGGCGAAAGACTTAGATAAGATGGTGGTAGCCAGCCAGGCGGACTTAGAACAAGCCCTACCACCAACCAAACCAAACAGAAAAATCTGCCCCCACTGGGAATCGAACCCGGGACCTCTGCGTCTGAAGCAGGTGGTCTTACCACTAGACCACAGAGGCGGTCATCAGGAATTACTGTAACATGAAAAGAGTGAGCTTCTTTTTATCTTCCAAAGTCAATGCTTTTATTCAGTGCTGAGGTCCTTTCCATTTCCTTAGACGTCCCAAATATAGCTTGCCCTACCACCACTTTGGGAATACATTTTGGGCTGGTGCTGAGAAGAACTTAGAAAACAACATTTTCTGCATAATTAGTTTTTAGTGGCCGATCGAATAGCTAGTACCGTCATAGCTTCTTTTTGACATAAAAAGAGAAAGACTTGATCAGCAAAAAGTATGACAATTGACTAGGGCAACCACTATCTCATGACGAGAAATACAAAATTGTAACGCCAGTTTAGGTAGTTTATCGCTAGGAACGGATAAGAGAGAACCACAACTTTTAAGAGGTATGAATCAATATCCATAAAAGCGAAATGTCACTGATTAACCGACTCACTCATCACGAAATCTCAGAAACTACAGGTGCTAGCAGTATCAAATTTCGCAAGGGGGTTTATTAGAACGTAGGTGCTCACTAAATGTAGGTAGCCTTTCGAACTAAGCGTCACTGACGCAGCGTCTTTAGCTTTGGTATTTAATGTAGCCTTTCGAGGCTTCCGCCGTGGCCGCTTAGTTCGAAAGGCTACCTTAAGACGGGTTTTTCAAAAATTCATCCGCTAAGGGGGTAAAACGGGATCCACGCGTACGAAGTCGCAGGCGGCCGCTAGTTATAGATAAAATTACAACTTGCCTACTGGGGCAACTCAAACATTTCTTACCATTAGGCTCGGTCTCAGCCATGCTGCGTATGAACAGTTTGACGAACCACTCGAGCGAGTACTGATACATGGGGTCAACGTTGGCCATGCCTGATAGACAGAAGAAGAGAATCTGCCCTCGGTTGGCCACCGGCACGTAGTCTTCTCGCGCCACGTCAATTTCGATCGTGGTCCTTTCTATATCTTCCACTTTTATCTGGAAGAATTATGATATTACAGGTAGTAGTAGCGCTAAACTTAGGCACGTTTTTGTAACGTCAAACGTCAGCGAGACTTCAGATATGCTTCAGATTTATATGCTCTGTCACGTCATAATATGTGGAGACTAAATAATATTAAATAACTTGATGATGAAGTCACAACCACAGATCACAGAAACTAAAGGGAGATGTGAGAAGGGGGCGGGGCCGGTGTCGCAGCAATATGCCCAAAAATAGAACACATTGCTCTCGAAAGCAATGATGACCGCAGCGACGTTATATGTGTGAAAAGTTTACATTCCTTGCGTAGTACTAAAGATTATTCGAACGTTGAAAACTAATCCCGCAGTCAATGACACAATGAGCACATTCTAACAGAATACATTCAATCGCACGTCACTTTGTATGTAGTGGTGCTGTACGTACATTACTTGCAACCTGGCATGTATACAAGCATGACACACACTCTTCGCATTCTTCATGTTTTTATTTACTTATTTTTTAATGCGACACTGGGTTTCGAACTTAGCGCATTAGTTGGCATATCTGTAGATCTCTATGGTCACAACTCACCAGGATCTCAGCGCTCTTAACACGTTGGACGCCACGCGGCTCACCGGTGAGCCTCGAACAATACAATTTCCATTGTGTCTATCGTCTCGGCGTGCAATGACTTAATCTTGATAGCTTCCAGCGTGAGAATGAGCGGAACATCGTCCTCAGGCGAACCCTCACTATTGGACAACCCGTATAAGATATCAGCTTGCATCTAGACCAGCTACCTCCAAGGTGGGAAGAGTGTACAATTAATCCTCCGTTTACTACCGATGACTGACTAAATAGCCCGATGATAAAGGGTCACAACTCACCAGGATCTCAGCACTCTTGATCTTTATCGCCTCCAGAGTAAGAATGAGCGGCACGTCATCCATAGCTGATCCCTCGCTATTGGACAGCCCGTATAAGATATCGGCTTGCATCTCAGCCAGCTACGCCCCCATAGCTTATACCTCCAAGGTGGGAAGAATGTACACTTAATCCTCCGTTTACTACCGATGACTGACTAAATAACCTGATGATAAAGGGTGGATGGACTCCTTAGGGGAGGCCTTTGTCCAGCAGTGGACGTCTTTCGGCTGAAACGAACGAAAGGGTCACAACTCACCAGGATTTCAGCGCTCTTGATCTTGATAGCTTCCAGCGTAAGAATGAGAGGCACGTCATCCACAGGCGATCCCTCGCTATTGGACAGCCCGTACAAGATATCGGCTTGCATCTCAGCTAGCTACGCCCCCATAACTTATACCCCCAAGGTGGGAAGAATGTACACTTAATCCTCCGTTTACTACCGATGACTGACTAAATAGCCTGATGATAAAGGGTCTGAGTAATACCTGATGATAAAGGGTGGATGCGAGCGGCACAAGACTCCTTGGGGGAGGCCTTTGTCCAGCAGTGGACGTCTTTCGGCTGAAACGAACGAAAGGGTCACAACTCACCAGGATCTCAGCGCTTTTGATCTTGATAGCTTCCAGCGTGAGAATGAGCGGTACTTTATCCACAGGCGATCCCTCGCTATTGGACAGCCCGTATAAAATATCGGCTTGCATCTCAGCTAGCTGCACCACCATAGCTTATACCTCCAAGGTGGGAAGAGTGTACACTTAATCCTCCGTTCACTACCGATGACTGAGTAATACCTGATGATAAAGGGTGGATGCGAGCGGCACAGGACTCCTTGGGGGAGGCCTTTGTCCAGCAGTGGAAGTTTCGGCTGAAATTAACGAAAGGGTCACAACTCACCAGGATTTCAGCGCTCTTGATCTTGATAGCTTCCAGCGTGAGAATGAGCGGTACTTTATCCACAGGCGATCCCTCGCTATTGGACAGCCCGTATAAAATCTCAGCTTGCATTTCAGCCAGCTACGCCGACCATACCTATACTTGTACCTTCAGATGTCTTATCAGAATATCGACGCTCTTGATTGTGATGCCCTTTATCATAAGAATGAGCAATATTGACGAGCGAGCCCTTGCTTTAGGACAGCCCTTGAAGGATGTCTCTGAGGGTATAGTGTAGGGTACATTATACATTGTATCTTGGTCAAACTGTAGATCCTGGCTACACAGGAGTTGCAGCGGTGGGAATAGTTCCATATAACTTGTATATGACTCACCAGGATCTCAGCGCTCTTGATCTTGATGGCTTCCAGTGTAAGCATGAGAGGCACGTCATCCACAGGAGAACTCTCGCTATTGGACAGCCCGTATATGCAGCTAGCTACGCCGCCATAGCTTACAACTCCAAAGCTTTGTATAGAATTTGTAGGCCTAATACTGCAATGGTGGAGATAAATAATCTGATGATGAAGGGTCACAACTCACCAGGATCTCAGCGCTCTTGATCTTGATAGCTTCCAGCGTGAGAATGAGAGGCACGTCATCCACAAGCGAACCCTCGCTATTGGACAGCCCGTATAAAATATCCGCTTGCATCTCAGCTAGCTACGCCCCCATAACTTATACCTCCAAGGTGGGAAGAGTGTACACTTAATCCTCCGTTCTCTACCGATGACTGAGTAATACCTGATGATAAAGGGTGGATGGACTCCTTGGGGGAGGCCTTTGTCCAGCAGTGGACGTCTTTCGGCTGAAACGAACGAAAGGGTCACAACTCACCAGGATCTCAGCGCTTTTGATCTTGATAGCTTCCAGCGTGAGGATGAGCGGAACTTCGTCCACAGGAGACCCCTTGCTATTAGACAGCCCGTACAAGATATCAGCTTGCATCTCAGCTAGCTACGCCGACCATACCTATACTTGTACCTTCAGATGTCTTACCAGAATATCGACGCTCTTAATTGTGATGTTCTTTATCATAAGAATGAGCAATATTGACGGACGAGCCCTTGCTATAGTACAGCCTTTGAAGGATAATGTTGGGTACAATATACCTTAAATACGACTCACCAGGATCTCAGCGCTCTTGATCTTGATCGCTTCCAACGTGAGGATGAGCGGTACATCGTCCACAGGCGATCCCTCGCTATTGGACAGCCCGTATAAAATATCGGCTTGCATCTCAGCCAGCTGAGCTGACATCTGCGCGCGAGATACGATCAGCTGACCGCGCAGCTCTTCTAAGTCTGGACGCTCTTGTGCTACTACTATGGATAGCAACTGTTCTGCTAGACCACTGGAAGAAAAAGGTAAGGATATATTTACGGTCATATGCGCGGCCTGTAGTCAAGCAATAGCAAGCTTGTCAATAGCGAGAAACTCTACTATCTTTACAGTAATGAAATCAAGATCTATAAAAAGACATTTACAGAATTCGGTTAGATTTCTACCAAGTGGGGGGTCTACCTACACTCCGTTTTCTGGTCCGTGGTTGCCACTCGAGAACTTTTCTGCCACACAGTCACTAAATTTTAGAATGATGTAAACCCATTTTCGCAAAATATATGATTTGATTTGAAAAATTCCTGTGGGCTACGTCGATTACTTTTGTTCTCCTACGGTTCTTTTAATTTGTAGTGGTCGCTGGAAGCACCTAGATACGGGTAACGCAGGACCGGTCATCTTGGAAATTCGTGGAATTCTTTAGGCCTTTGTGGAACTCGGTTTAAATAGAATATAATAGAATAGAATAGAATAAAATAGAATGGAATAGAATGGAATGGAATAGAATGGAATGGAATGGAATGGAATGGAATGGAATGGAATAGAATAGAATAACGTTTATTTTGCTGCCAAATGTAAACTAAATGTTCGTACTGACCTGGGCACCAGCGCAAAGTTGACTATCTGCACTTTGACGGAGGTTTCAGGGGTGTACTTCGGGTTGGGCAGCTTGGTGGTGATGTAGAGACGAAAGCCTGGCATGTAGGGGATGAGAGAGTCGCCCAGTTTGAGCACCATCTGGCCGGCTTGGCGGAAGTATTGCCGCTGCAAACAATATGTTACTTGCAAATATTTGGCCGATGGAAATTGAGATAATAATAAGCCCTATTATTCAGGCAATAAACATCTTAAGATAAAATAGTTTTTAAAACTTTGATACTTTTAAATAACATAAATCTTACTAGTCGATAAAACAAAGCAATTAATCGAGATTTTGTACTAAACTGTGGAGGTGGAAATCAAGGTATTTGCTTTCATGTTTTTTTTTACAAAGGTGACAATACAGATCGGTTCGCAAAAGCGAGCAGCGCTTGCAAACCACTTACAACCTTGGTGAGTTAACTGCGCACCTCGCGATAGCGTCGATGTGACGTCACGGCCGCCAGGTATGTAGTTAACTCGACCTGATTGTACTACGCAACAACACTCGCTTCAACGACTGCCCTTATGCGACGCACAGCACACAAAATCATTGAATTAATATTTTGTGCTTTGTGTCACGCTCTAAATACATTCAACAGTTCGATTTAGGTTACCTTCAAAACCGGGTCCAATGCGGGGTCCAACTCTTGCCCGACATTCTCCAAAAGAATGGGTTTCCCGAAGCGCAGCGCAGACTCGAAGTTCCGAAGCAGGTCGCGGTCATTCGGCTTGCAAACCACTAGGCCTTCGATTTTGCCCTATGGAAGAGACGTAAGACTTGTATAATTTTTAAAAGCTGTGTGTCATCCATCAGTCTCCTTAAACTATGATGGCGACTAACCCCTCTGGGTTATCGGTCAGAAAGTCGACAAAAATGACGGGTACTTTTTTTTTTCACGTTTATGACAAAACTTTTATCGTATAAGTGTGACGGATCGACTTTATGGCAAATGTATAATAAGCCAAAGATATTTTGTCTTTCTTTACCACTTGCAGGCAATAAATTAATTTGTATGTGCATTATAGGGCATCTGCACTACACGTTTTTTGAACGCGCCGAGGACGCGCGTTTTAGCGATACAAACGCAAGTAGCTCGTAGATCCTTGTAAAGCACATCGACGCCTTTTCTAAGACGTGGTGTCCAAAGAGAGTATAGTAGTTGTAGAGAGTTATTGATGCTGATGATAATCAACCAACCATAGCGCGGATCCACTTGTTAGCCTGCGTTTGCGGGTCTATGATGAGCGGCCAGCGCCGCGAGTTAGACATCAGTACCGCAGACTCGACTGACAGCGGGTCTCGCGGCATCTGACACTTCTATTGGAGCTGATGATGATGATGAACCAACCATAGCTCGGATCCACTTGTTGGCCGCCGGGAGTTAGACATCACCACTGCAGACTCGACTGACAGCGGGTCTCGCGGCATCTGACACTTCTATTGGAGCTGATGATGATGATGAACCAACTATAGCTCGGATCCACTTGTTGGCCGCCGGGAGTTAGACATCACCACTGCAGACTCCACCGACAGCGGGTCTCGCGGCATCTGACACTTCTATTGGAGCTGATGATGATGATGATGAACCAACCATAGCTCGGATCCACTTGTTGGCCTGCGTTTGGGGATCGATGATGAGCGGCCAGCGCCGGGAGTTAGACACTACCACTGCAGACTCGACTGACAGCGGGACTCGCGGCAACTGACACTTCTATTGGAGCTGATGATGATGATGAACCTACCATAGCGCGGATCCACTTGTTAGCCTGCGTTTGCGGGTCTATGATGAGAGGCCAGCGCCGGGAGTTAGACATCAGTACAGCAGATTCCACCGACAGCGGGTCTCGCGGCAGACCGTACATCTGCCACGTTCTATATGAAACAATAAAATTATGCTAATCAGCATCATTTCAGACATAGGACGTCCACTGATGAATATTTACAAACATCAAAAACAGTATATGTCCAGCGCTGTAGATTTTAACCAATTCAAATTCAAATTCAAAATATTTATTCATAGCAAAATACATATTGCGTTGAACAAGTTACAAAAATACATTACATTATATTTCAATTAACTAACATGTCATGTAACGATAGATGGCGCTTTTTAGACACGTCTTATTCATTTATTGAAATTTATTTGTCACATATCGTCATAAATTATAGCCTATATGTTAATCTGGGTTATAAACAATAATTCTGTAGTTTCAACAAAATCCGTTCAGTAGTTTTTGCGTGAAAGAGTAACAAACATCCATACATCATGATATCCAGCCAGATATCCAATCTTTCGCCTTTATAATATTAGTAGGAAGTAGGATGATAATGTCACATCACCCCACAGTTTTGTATAAGTTATATCAAAATATATTTGGGTATTGTGTTTGTATGGAACAGACTTACCTGATTTGCACAGGATCCCCAAGAATTGAAAGCGGAGTGGCGCCATCTGTGTGAGGGACTGCTACTTCCTACGAACATAATAATTATTATTTTAATAATATTATAGGATGAAATAGATTATGAAATATGTAACATACCTCCATATGCTTCATCCATTCATGAAGTAACTCTCTTCTGAACTCATCAGTGAATGGTGTTATGTAGCCGACAGCGCCTGAAACAGTAGGAACACAATATTTATTTACCTTCGTCCTTAGCCTAGAGAACAGGATTGATTTCAAAGATTTCAAAAAAAGATAAATTGATAAATATTGTAGAGATTCAAGGGGTGTTTTGTCCAATGACTTACCAGTACAATGACTGGAAATTTAGCCTATAATGAGGGCAAATAAATTGAAGATTGGTTTTACATTCATGCACCCGAAAAACATAGGAGCCACTTGATGGGCCAATGAAATGAGACCGATGTCTTTCGTTGAAAAGGAAGGAAGGAAGATACTCACAAGCGCTGATCAGAATATCCCCGATCAAGCTGACGATGTCCACGTCCAATTTCTTAATCGTGCTTATCCAGCGCACTCGCTCGCTCGACAGCCCGTTCAGCAACCTGGCCATAAATATTATAATAAACAGTGGGCCAGAAAGACGAAGATTTAGTCTCACGCCCGTATTCACAAACGATGCTTGCTTCATGAAGCAGCAAATCGAACGCATAGCGTTAAATAGAGGTCTGTGATTAGTTCGTGTGTCACTCTGTGCGTCCACGCGCTCCGTGAGACCTCATAGTAATGTTTGTGAATACGGGCGTCAGAACGGTACCTACGCGAGAGGAGGGTTGAGGCTTGCGGCCATTTGTAGCTAGGCTCAATGGAGCATTTCACCTGAGAGCAGCATGTATTCTGCTTACGACTTGCAAAAGTCGCTGGTAAAAGGTAGATGTGACAAGCCAAAGACATGTTAAAATATGAAAGCATATGTCCAGTAGAGGACTGATTTTAATTAATTTAAACAAGTTTTAACGCGATACGCGGGTAGGTAAATTAATTCAATTATGCAACGCGAAACTTTAAATTAATTAGGACTGCTTTACCCTGGTGAACTGATGATAATCAATGATGATGATCAATGATGACTATGACGATTATGACAACTACAAAACCCACCGGTTGGCGCGGTCCATTCTGGCCAAGCACTGGTTAATGTCTTCCTCCATTTTGCGCTTTTCTTCCTCCTTCTCCTGTAAGTACGCGTTCAGCTTGGCTATGCCTTCGAGCAGCGCTTGCATCTTCGCTTTGGCGTTGGCCAACATTGCTGTTCGTAAACGAGAGAACTATGAAAATAGACGCAGAAAAAGTTACGAGATTAAGTATCACCCGTATTTACAAACGATGCTTGCTTAAGTGAAGCAGCAAATCGAACGCACAGAGTTAAATAGAGCTCTGTGATTGGTTCGTGTGTGACCCTGTGCGTCCACGCGCACTGTGAGACCCGATAGTAATTTTGTGAATACGGGCGTAAACTTCTTTAACTTTGGCGTGAATATAAAATAATGATAAAGATGCAGGCCGCTACCAATCGATCAACATGGAAAGCATTGGGGGAGGCCTATGTTCAGCAGTGGACGTCCTGTGGCTGAAATGATGATGATGATGAATGATGAAAGATGTGTCACTATAAAATCAAATCAAATCATTTATTTGTATTACATGTGGTTTGATAGTTGGGAAATGGTAGGGTAGTACATCTATTACTATTTTCTTAACGCGAATGCACTAAACATCTCCGGCTTCTCAGCTTCGTACGGGTGAGAACCATGATATTAATGTACAACCGCACCGCAACAAGCGCTATATGCGTAGATACAATGCTAACTTGTACCATTTGTAACATTTTGTGTGACAAGAAAAAAATGTCTATTCTATTCCGTTGCACTTCCCTCCATTCTACTCTACACTATTCTATTCTAAATCACCTTCGACAGCCGCTAAGTCCTTAGTGGCGCGTTCTAAAGCCTCTTTCTTAGGCGCTACAGCCTTGTTGACGTGGTAGAACTTATACATGGCGTGCACCCACATGCATAGAGACATGCACGCTTTGGACACCTGTGGAGACGAGTTTAAAATTAGGACACAATTAAATGACAGGAGAAAGTGACTGAGACATCATCATTATAGTTCCAAAATAGTGGACTGTCCTGTCGATGACATTGACAGTGGGGCGCCACCGTCAATACCGGATCGCTGGTTCAGATTTTTGCCATGTTGGAAACCATATAGTTGAACGATGGTAGCGCTCCCCTGTCATTGAGTTTGGTGGGACAGTTAAGCGTGGGTCATCTATATCATCATATCAGGCATTATGACAGAATGATGACATTGATTTATACTGTTGAATATAGGGCAATGACATATAAGCGTTATGTTACTGGTAACAGTGCCAGGTAAGTAAAGGATTTTTCAAGGAAATTTGACCGTGTCTGCCGCAAACAAGACAAGAATGTCGTCGGACCTAGCTACGAAAATTTGTCACACAGTGCGCGTCCGCCGCATGTTAGAATATTAGAATTATTTCTTGGTCAGCGCTGGAGCAAAGTACACGGTTCGTGTGTAGAAACGACACGAATTTTTTCGTAGGCCCGGCAACTTTTCTTAGCGTGTACAAGGGGATTGAGAAAGTTGTGACCTTTAGGATCTTGGTGGGCTCGTAGTCGGGGTTGGCGATGAACCGCTTGAGCTTCTTGATCATGTCCTCGGTGATGGACTCCTTGTCGAACTTCATGAGCGAGTCCAGGAAGGCGGTCGGGTCGGCTAACATCTGCGAGCCGGGCTTCCAGTAGTTGAGGACTTTCTCGCCGAATGAGGCGCCGGGTTCCTGAAATATGGAAGGACATTTTGGTGAAGCTGTTATGTTATTGCTAATACAATACACATGGGAATAAACGAGGGGCCCAGGGGAGGGTAAATTATAAATCCAATGGCCTGAGGTTGAATTGTGTAAAGCAATCGTAATCATTTGACAGTTCATAACGTACGATTATTCTGTCTAACGCTTTGTTTAACTGACTTTATCGTACGTTATGAACTGTCAAATGATTACGATTGCTTTACACAATTCCACCTCTGATTCACGTAACAAAACTTCAACGACATGCAAGCGATTTGATCGCTGGAGTCACTTTTTGTATTCACGTGTTAATTGCCCGATTTTGTTTCGATTTCGTTTTTATGCGTATTTAATCGTTGCTTTTGCGGTATTCACCTATTACCGACTTTGAAGTTTGGTTTCAATCGGATGACAGTGATTAAACGTCAAATGACAAATCGCTGAATTACGATCCTATCGAGTAATCGTTCTATCGAAATGACACGTGAATACGGATTTAGGACTATTTTTCAATAGGATGACTTCTAAGCGTCTTTAATTAGGCCACTGGAAATTGTAGATTCCTAAATACCTGCCTTTTGTTTCGTTCTTAAGTGTCTAAGATGGAGGAACCCTGCCTAAAATCATCTTTTTTCCATTTCCTAAAGATACAAAAAAGTGAAAACTGTGATTTTTTACCAAGGTCAAAATTTGATATTACAGAGATCATGAGGAGGAACACCCTGTATAACAAACCGTATAGATGACCCACGCTGAACTGTCCCACCAAACTCAATGACAGGGGGGCGCTACCATCGTTCAACTATATGGTTTCCAACATGGCAAAAATCGGAAGCAGCGATCCGGTATAGACGGTGGCGCCCCACTGTCAATGTCATGGATAGGACAGTTCAGTATTTTGGAACTATACCTTGATAGGCTTGATGTCAAACACCACGCACAGCGACTCGATGACGAGCACGACTCCACCGGGCGGCTTCTTTAACGCCTTCACCTCCACGATGTCGTTGCGGTTCAGCTCTTTTAACGCGTTCTCCGCCGCGCGGAGAGCGGGCATTGCCTCGTCTGTAAAAAAATAGCCTCAAGTAACTCTTTACAGGCTCTATGATATGCTAATGGTGCGTCCAGGTTACGTAATGAAATGAATAATCATTTATAGCATTTCTTGAACGAGATCATAAGCGTAGTGCAGGATGCCCTAGCTGGATGCAGGATCTAGGTAGTTGGAGATACGACTTGCGCTAGTAATTGGATGCGACAAGCCAAAAACATGGTAATAACATGAACATAGTAAGTAATGAGGGAGGCATGTATCTTACAATAGACTGCTAGGTATATTAAGGCAAGGTTGACATATAGTCCAGTCAATAAAGCATTATAGATGGAAATCCGTGGAACACAATTTCTGACCTCGGGACTTTATTTAGACTAGTTAGGAGGTGAACATAGCAAAAGTCCCCGCCCTTAGCCCTTGAGCCGGCGGGAAGAGGGGGGTTTAAAGGTACCACTTTTCGGTTTTTCGCTTAATCCTCGGAAACTATGCGTCCTAGTGACATGACTACTATGAATCAAAAAAAGCTTATTGAATTTGCTACAGGTGAGATAGTCAAGTTTTTCTATATCTTGAATAGTTTTTGCGGCATCTGCTCTAGAAGGTCTGTAATATTGGAAATTTTATTTTTGTCTTACATGTTCCCATCAGGAGAAAATCGACTAAATCAACATTAAGCTAATATTCTACACCTGCGGGAGCATGTTAAGGCTAGTTCCAGGGAGGGGACTGCACCGTACGTATATTTAGACGAACCACTTGGAGCCACTTTTGACTCCTCATCACTCAAAAAGTACTGTGCGTTAACACTTCAAATTTGGCTCATGTGTTGAGACTTGCAAGATAAACATCTGCTTCAAATTTCATAAATATACCTCAAACGGTTCTTTAGGTATTGACGTCCAAAAATCTACATGGCTGACCTATAAGACCAAATTCTAACCACTTCCAGGTGACCTTGAAGGTTCAAATTTGGCATCCAGATAGGTAGTTGTGTAAATACAAAGGAACAAATGAAAAACCAGTAAATTTTAACATTTCACAGGTGATAGACAGATTTTAGTGTCCTAAATGTGAATTTTTGAACGTCAATACCTAAAAAACCGTTTGAGGTATATTCATGAAATTTGAAGCTGATGTTTATCTTGCAAGTCTCAACACATGAGCCAAATTTGAAGTGCTAACGCACAGTACTTTTTGAGTGATGAGGAGTCAAAAGTGGCTCCAAGTGGTTCGTCTAAATATACGCACGGTGCAGTCCCTTACCTGGAATTAGGCTTAACATGCTCCCGCTTGTCTAGAATGTTTGCTCAATGTTGATTTAGTCGACTTTCTCCTGTTAGGAACATGTAAGACAAAAATAAAATTTCCAATATTACAGACCTTCTAGAGCAGATGCCGCGAAAACTATCTATATATACAGTGTGAGTCACGTTAAAGTGTACATATGAAATTAGGTGAAACTAGACCTATTTTTATCGACAAAAAAGAGGTCAAAAAATTTTTGAGATTTTTTTTTAATTTTTTATCGATTTTTTTTTCTTCCAATTACTTATTGTAAAGAAAACGTAATAACTTTTAAACTCAGCGGTATATCCTGATAAAATAAAAACAGTAATAATGCTTAATAACAGGCGATACTAAAAAAATACATAAAATACACAAAAAAGGCCAAAAAATAATAAAAAATGATACTTTTTGAAAAAAATCTGCTTAAAAATTCGTGTTTTTTTGGTTATTTGATAAATTTCTCCAAAAAATTCCCCTATAACTGGTGGTTTTTATTACTTTGTATTATTCTCTATCGTATTACCTTCGTTAAACCGAAAATCGCATGTCTTTATCCCTATCACAACGTTTGCAATGATTGTTTGAACTAAGCCTCTCCGGGCGCGCCATTCAACGCTTCGTTAACAACGAAAATGAAAATGGCTCTAGATTTGTAATTTTGATAAAAACAAGTTAGATTGCAAATAAAAACAAAATATTTCGAAGTAAAATAAGCATTTTAGGTAAAATTAAATTTATCTCTACCTTTAGCGGAGAATAATGTTGTGGCAGGCCTTTGTTCAAACGATCATAGCAAATGTTGTGATAGGGATAGAGACATGCGATTTTTGGTTTTACAAAGATAATACGATAGAGAATAATACAAAGTAATAAAAACCACCTGTTATAGGGGCATTTTTTTGAGAAATTTATCAAATAACCAAAAAAATACGAATTTTTAAGCAGTTTTTTTTTTCAAAAAGTCTCTTTTTTTATTATTTGTTGGCATTTTCTGGGTATTTTATGTATTTTTTCAGTATCGCCTGTTATTTAGCATTATTAATGTTTTTATTTTATCAGGATATACCGCTTAGTTTAAAAGTTATTACGTTTTCTTTACAATAAGTAATTGGAAGAAAAAAAATTCTATAAAAAATTAAAAAAAAATGTCAAAAATTTTTTGACCTCTTTTTTGTCGATAAAAATAGGTCTAGTTTTATCTATTTTCATATGTACACTTTAACGTGACTCACACTGTATAAAAGAAAGTCGTGTTAGTTACTCCACTTATAACTCAAGAACGGCTGAACCGATTTAGCTGAAAATTGTCAGGGAGGTAGTTTAGAGCCAGGAGAAGGACATAGGACACTTTTTATCCCGTTTGAAATAAAAAAAAAGTCTGCTTATTTATTGCCATTAAGGCGGAACAAAGTTCGCCGGGTCAGCTAGTACAAGATATAGAAAAACTTGAGTCTCTCACCTGTAGCAAATTGAATAAGCTTTTTTTGGTTGATAGTAGTCATGTCACTAGGACTCATAGTTTCCGAGGATTAAGCGAAAAACCGAAAAGTGGTACCTTTAAACCCCCCTTTCCCCGCCGGCTTAAGGGCTAAGGGCGGGGACTTTTGCTATGTTCACCTCCTAACTAGTCTAAATAAAGTCCCGAGGTCAGAAATTGTGTTCCACGGATTTCTCTCTACACCGTCGTTAAAGCATTCATTGACTGGACTAATAACTTTTTAAGTAATATAGTGTTTACATAAACATGATTAGATATTGTACTTATTAAAGTGCCACTTGCCACTCATCATCATAAGTGTCACTTGTGGTCTAAACTGAATAAATATTTTTGATTATGATTTTGAAATATAATCTCATGTTGCAATACCCTATAGCAGGGTCCATGTTATCGGTCTATGTCTCATATGAAAGAACTTTTGCATACCAACATGTTGGTATGCACCATGGTGAAATAAAGAATTTGAATTTGATTGATATTAAACGCACCCAAGTCTCTCTGCGCGTCCTCAGCCATAGCGGTGGTTTCCGCGGCCATTTTCTCTGCCACTGACTGTTCCTTTTCTACTTTGATGCGGGCCTCTTCTGCTATAGCCTGATAAAAAGCAAAACACGTTTAACAAAAATAATGCTAAAATAAAATACAGTCTGCCAGGGGAAACCAAACATTACGATTTTATCGCGAAAGAACCTCAAATCAGGGTTGATTTAATATATTTAATCATCGATAACCTATTTGTGTAACATAAAGTTGGACCACAGTGGTTCCTTGTTCAACAATAACATCAGAACTACTTATTAGACGTAGTAGTATATTTTTCACCTCATTTTAAGGAACAGCTCAAATAGTAGTAATAAAATGCAAATAAAACATACATTGATGACCTAGTTTTTACGATAGCTGAACTTTTTAAATAACTGAAAAAAAAATGTTTTTACTGAAGCCTTATTTTTTTTAAATGTATGGGACCCGTGTCTGTTTTCTATTTTCCTTAGCCAGTTCATCAATTAGTTTTTCCTCTCTTCTCTCCACCCACCGTGTCGATGGCGATCTGGTCGATGACCTTCCTGGTCTCCTCGGCAGCCTTTTCCATGAGTGGTTTCAGCTCGGCCAACTCTATTTGTAGCTGCTTCACTTCTACTTCCGTCTGGTTCAGCTTGTCCAAACCTGTGACGTGGAGTATGCATTTATTGTAAGAGGACATACAGGACGAAGATCAAACTCGGTTGAATTTCAAGCATAGATGGAGGCTTCTGATTGAATGATTGAATATTTATATCAATCACGGGAACAGTATCCATAACTGAGATTAAATCGAGTTTTGTGTTGATTTGTAATGTGAACCTAGGACTTATCGGGTTAGCGGGAATTCTAATACTCTCGTGTCCATCGCTGTGAACACTAGAGCCCCGCTCTGCTTTGGTGGAAAACAGACCTGACTGAAACACATACCATCTTGCACCGCTCTATTATAGCAAGAACATACTGAGTTGAGTGCTACGCCTGTACTAATAAGTGTCAAAGTCGAGCAGCAGTATCTTACCAGTCTTAAGCGCATTGGACTCGTTGAGTATGTTCTGGCGCTGCTTGCGAAACATCTCCGCGTAGGCGCCAAGCATTTCCATGTACGACATGGGCGTGACGTAGTTGAGCCGGTTCAGTTGAGCCAGGAATCTGGCGCTGGCGTCGACGACGGACTGGTGGGCGAAGCAGCACACCGACTGGAAGGGATTAGGTGTAATTAGTGTCTGCCCGCTACCAACCGTGCGATGTGGAAGTCATTGGGGGAGGCCTATGTTCAGCAGTGGACGTCCTATGGCTGAAATGATGATGATGATGAGTGTCTACCCACGGAATGAGTAACGAATACAGTTTAGTAGATCTTTTAGTATCAGTGCAGACTTGGGGACGTGTTACTAGAAGACCAAGAAAACAACTTAGATAAAACCCTATTTTTTTGTCATAACAAGGATAAAATGAACAAACAGCGAGATGCCACGAGAACCCGCACACGAATAGTCTTGGCAGCGTCGCTTGACAGCTCCGGATTTCTGGACGGCTCCAGTGATCCTCGGAATCTCAATTCTGGTCGCAAAGCATGAGATTCCAAGCGTCGCTAAGAGATCACCAGAGAAGGAAACTGACGTAGGTGCGCGCGGAATAAAATACCTGTCAAATGCTGCGTTCAATACCTGTCGAAGAGCATCCAACTGCTGCATTCAGCACCTGTCCAGGCTGCTTGGCTCAGCGCAGACCTGACAAAGCGCGGCGAAGCGTAGTTCTGGTAAGGCTTTGGATTCCAAGCATCCCTAATTCGTCGTTCGTCGAGAATGCTTGCGTCTGTAGACAAATGTCATCGGGCGGAGCTGTGAAGCGCTGCGCGGCGCTGCTAGGAGCAATCGCGTACTGAGAAGAGTCTCGGCTTGACGGCGCTTGCAAATGGCTTCTGTTTGCTAATTTTGAACTGTGACATGTCATTTCCAACCGTACGACATAGACATTAGGGTTTAGTTCAGTCACTCACCACCATGGAGTCGATGATCTCGTCGGAGGTGACGAGCTCGCCCATGTGAAGAAAAGAGAAAAAGAGAAGGAAACTGGCGAAGGTGCGCGCGGAGTAATATTCATATTCTGCATTCATCACCTGTCAGCCTATTTGGGTCAGCGCAGACTCGCTAAAGCGCGGCGAAGCGTAGTTCTGGTAAAACATTAGATTCCAAGCATCCCTAAATCGTCGAGAACGCTAGCGTCTGTAGACGCATGTCATCGGGTGGAGCTGTCAAACGTCGCACGGCGCTGCTAGAAGCAATCGCGTTCCGGCTCTCATGGCAACTTGACGGCGCTTAGGGTTTTGTTTGAAGCATTTTCTTCTTAGAGGCTTTGTCAAAGTTAGCGTGCAGGCCAGAATAATCTCACGGCACCGCCAGAAGTGTCTCGCGGCACCGCCAGAAGTGTCTCGCGGCACCGCCAGAAGTGTCTCGCAGCAGCGCCAGAAGTGTCTCGCGGCACCACCAGAAGTGTCACGGCTCTCGTGCTTTTAGAGTCATCAGCTAATTTTGAGCTTTAGCATGTCATTTCCAACCGTCTGACAAAGAAACTAGGGTATTGTTTAGGTCACTCACCACCATGGAGTCGATGATCTCGTCGGTGGTGACGAGCTCGCCCATGTTGTGGAAGAAGTGCGTGGCGACCGACTCCAGCGCCGACTTGGGCCACTCGCTGAACCAGTCGATGGTGCAGCAGTTCACCAGCGACGGGAACTGGCGGAGGCGCGCGCGGAATATCTGTATACAACGTCCCAATCTTTATTTGCATAAATTATTTATTTAGGACGTAAAAAATGGGTTACAGCCAAAATATGAACTTCAGAGATTGATAATTTTTGTTCACAAGCGGTTATCAGACCTAAGTTTCGACTTAGATATCGCTTAGGATAAGGGCAGTTGTTTGAATATTTTTCAAACAACTGCCTTTTCTATTTCTTCAGTCATTGTCAGTGCTTGAGCTATAGGAGGCATGGAAGCAGCACGGGAGGAATTTTTTGACGTCAAAGGTCAGCGAGACTTCAAATGGGCTTCAGCCATGTATGCTCTGTTACGTCATGTCACCGTGCCGCTCCCATACCTCAGGCACGGACTCAGTTACGCTTTTTCTTCTTCTAAGTCGTTCCGCTCTCTCCAAAGTCATTGTGGTGTGACCACGTCGGTTGTAGAGGCGCACAGCTCTCCGCACGATGTCCCGCCATCTACCTCTGTTAGCAGACTTGCCTGGTGTAGTCAGATACGCGGTTTCCCACTGCCGATTTTACTTGATCAGTCTATTATGCTAGTTATAGATCTGTAATTAAGAACTCACCTCTCCCACGGGACTCATGACTACCACAATATGCAGGTTGCTCCTGCGATTCTGATACCAAGTCCGAACGTATATGCTGCATCGATACAGTCGCAAAATGCCGATCGCCAATGAAGTAGCGTATGCATATCTGCTGCGGCTTGCATTGGTTTCAAAGCTACTAAATCTAACTTCACGGCTAACTAAGAACTCACCTCTCCCACAGGACTCATGACCACCACAATATGCAGGTTGCTGCGGACGCGGCGCTGGTAGCAAGCGAACAGGTTGGTCTTGGTGGCCGCCAAGTTCATCTCCATAACAGCGTGCCGCACCGACATGTATATCTTGACTAGTTTGACTTTAAATAGGGTTGCGGTCACTCTAGTCAACTGACATTTCTAAGAGCAGTCAAAAAGCGACTCTCCCGAAGATTTTGTACAGCGAAGAGGACTATGACGTCATCAGGTCACGAGTTCAATTGGCTGACAATTTAAAGACATAGTACTTTTAGCATTCGCGATCGCCGAATTAGTCGCTTTTTAGAAGCTGAATGCATCGACCACATATTCCACGGCGCACACTTAAGTAAGAGCGCCAAACGCAGCGATTGAGTCGCTTTTCCGAAGCTGGACGCAGCGACAGAAGTCGCTAAAACGCGCGCTTCTGATACCGCGTCTGAACGTATATGCTGTATCGATACAGTCGCAAAATGCCGATCGCAGATGCTAAAAGTAGCGTATGCATATTTGCTGCGGCTTTTATTGGTTTCAAAGCTACTAAATCTAGTAATCTAGTATTGGTCGCATTATGTAGCGTAGCATCGCTTCATGTCACATACCGTCGCTCACCTAGGACAAGGAATAACTAAAGTAAATACACTCACCTCTCCCACAGGGCTCATGACCACCACAATATGCAGGTTGCTCCGGACGCGGCGCTGGTAGCAAGCGAACAGGTTGGTCTTCGTGGCCGCCAGGTTCATCTCCAAGACTGCGTGCCGCACCGACATGTAGATCTTGTCTAGTTTGACTTTAAATAGGGTAGATGTCACTCAAGTCAGCTAAAAGTGACTAAAATCTAATTTTACAGCCAACCCAGCATGTAAGGGCTAGAATGAAGCGTTCAATGAGGCGCTCTTCTTGATTGCGCTCACCAGTTGTCACCACTGCTGCACTGGTGAGTTGTAGGATCACACTTGACAGTAGCACCAACCTAGTGATTACAAATGGGATTGTCGTCCTAAAGCTTCAGTGCTCACCAGTAACCATCACTATTTTAGCTACAAGCAAATGACATGACCTTACTCGTTAGTGGCGCTAACTGGTAAGCGCAATTAACACACACTTACCTCACCCACGGAGTCATAACCTCAAGATTAAGGTCATACCGAAGGTCAGGGTTAGTTCAGTCGCTCGTCAAATGGGGTGCTGTCCTTCGTGAGTCACTTTGTATAAATTCCGACTCACCTCTCCCACAGGACTCATGACCACCACAATATGCAGGTTGCTGCGGACGCGGCGCTGGTAGCAAGCGAACAGGTTGGTCTTGGTCGCCGCCAGATTCATCTCCATAACAGCGTGCCGCACTGACATGTAGATCTTGTCGAGATCCTCCGCCTCGTAGATGTTTGGAACGTCGCCTGAGCTGAGGATGTTGTTCAGGTCTTCCAGGAAGGACTCCATTTTTATCTGGAGTAAGTAACAACGGGTTAATGCACCAATCAATAGGCTAGTCTATTGAGATATTTTTATAAACGGATAGAAAACTACTCCATAGATTTTGATTTTGTTGACGAAAAGCGACGTCATAACCTGTGTGAGGTTATGACGTCGCTTTTCGTCAACACGATTGTTTATGTCAAAACTGCTAAGAACCTTGTTTAGAGTTAATTGAAAAATTTAGTTATAGATGAACTTCACTTAACTGTCCCACGAAACACATTGACAGGAGGCGCCACTATCGTTCAACTATAATATAGTTTCCAAAGTGGCAAAAATCGGAACCAGCGATCCGGTAATGACGGTGGCGCCCCCCTGTCAATGTCACGGGTGGGACAGTTCGTTGTAGTTAATTTATACCAGAGCTAGAACATTGTGTTCTTGTAGCTACACGTTACACTTTTTCGTGACTTTGAATATTAGTCAAAGACTTTAGGACCTACGCTTAAACTTGTGCGCGCTCTAGACGTCCAATGCGGACCTGCATGCGCTTATAAAGGCACGACCGCCCGTTGTTTTATCTATTGTTGTCGTGTTTAGTCTTCATTGAACTATACAGGGTGGAAACGATAAGTAATCTCATTCATCACCAGGTGATTCACCCATCAGGGGATCCGTCTGCTCGTTTGCCTCCTGTCACATAAAAAAAAATCAATTATTTCTAAACTATACAAGATATCGAAAAGCTTCACTAGCTCTATCCAACGGTACCAATAATAAGTTACAGAATTAACTGGATCTATCCAAAAATTAAATGTTTCCAGCCTCCATACTAAATGTATGCCAGCCAAACAATATTAAAAGTATTAAGTTTTTTTATTAAATAATAAACACTTAAAATGAACTCGTAAATTGCATTCTTATTTAAAATTATCCTTTGAATACATTGGTTTTAGGCTTTACTTGCTATAATATCAAGACACGAGTGTCATGACTGTGGCTATACTAAATGTATGAAAGCTGGAAACATTGTATTTTCGGATGGATCCAGTTTATTTTGTAACCTATTATTGGTACCGTTGGATAGAGCTCGTGAAGCACTTTCAAAATCAGTAATCACTTTTTCGATATCTTGTATAGTTTAGAAATAATCAAGTGAGATCACTTAACGTTTCCACCCTGTATATGTCACTGACCTGCGCGTCCGAAAACAGGAACACAATGCCGCGGTTGTCAGCGCCTGCCTTCATCATGGTTTGCTTGAGGTCGTCGCGCCACTCGGTCTGGCCGTACGCTTTGGTGATCTCAATCTGGATGCACGTCAGCTCCGCCATGTTGGCGGCAAGACGGGAGAGGGACTGACGACCTGAAAGACATTTTATTTACTAACCATCTTTTGCCCGCGGCTTCACCCGCGTGAACTTTAGTTTGTCACAGATCGTCATAAATTAAAGCCTATAATATGTTATTCTGCGTTATAGATACATCAAAATCCGTTCAGTAGTTTTTGCGTGAAAGAGTAACAAACATCCATCCAGATATCTAGACATAAACTTTCGCATTTATAATATTAGTAGGATTATTATGTTATGCATTAAATAAGAGTCGATTTAGATGCCTTTAGTCGTGTACTACGCAGAGTCAAATAGGATCTTTCCCACTCTTTCCGTGAAGAAGCAACAAAGTTACCCCTACTAAGTCCCATCATCTATGGAATAGGAGTAAGTTAATAAGCCAAATGCCCCATTTGCCTCTAGTAAATTAGAGATGGTCGTGATCCTGCATTCACTAAATAAATGACCATCCGGCTTAGGATGCGCATCACAATATAATCTTATCGACGTGTGTGACAAATGAGGCAAGCCCATCTTGCCGTCAGAAATCTCGATAAAACGATATAATGGCGCGCATCATAGGCTAGCTAATGGTGACGATAATTAAATTTGGGTTAATTAACACGCGACCTCAAGACCTTTCGCTTCTAGACCCTAAGATATCTTTAAGGTAAAAATCATTCTATTTATAATCACCAGAGCCACCCATCCCAAGCAACAAAGCATTAGCCATCGGCTGCCTCATAATGCGGGCAACCCGACACAGATGACCCACGGCATCTTCAAACAGCACCAGATCCAATGGAACCGTTGTGGATAAGTTGTATTCCACTAGGTAGTGGCTTAGCACGTAGTCCATCTGGAATACGAAATTGTGGTATGTAATTTGTTCGTTCATTTTAGCCAAAAGACTACTGGATAAAGACTGGACTCTCCAAAGGATTGTCACAACGACTCCAACTTTTCTGTCCAAAGGCTTTCAAATCTATGAGCTACACAAGTGTCCCGCCCACAACCACTTAATTGGCAATTCTGTGGGCTATGACGGTTACTTTGATTCTCCTACGGATCTCAAATTCTCCGATTGGATCTAGTAAATAATCTCACAAAATGTTCAACTGCTCTAGACTTATTTCAGAAGCGACTGCTCTGCCCAGCCTTGAGGAAGGTCTTAGTCCAAATGGACGTCCTTTGGTTGAAACTGATTGACTTCTATGCTTATTTTATAGTATCAACAATGATAAATGACAAGTATTCACCTCCTCCTGGTCAGTAATCTCGACGTACTTCCGTTCATCCGCGCCGATGTCCATAAAGTCTCCGAACAGCATCAGTCTACCGCCAACCACCTCCGCTGCCTTCTTCCCAAACTCCGTACGAATCTTCTTGTTCAGCAGGCTATATAAATAACAAAATAAGGCTAGGTTATCATCTTACTTTGACTTTAACAAACGTCAAAAATCTGTCAAATTCCATACAAAAAGCACTGGTTATCATTATACTTACCGTTAAAGTTAGGTGGTGCAACTCAGCCTTATGCTCGTTTTCACCATCAATCCCTAATTTTTAAGTGACCCCTATGATAACACATAACAGGAATTTTATTTTCATAGGGGTCACTTAAAAATTAGGGATTGATGGTGAAAACGGATATCAGTGTAGCATTTGACGACTCAGTCAGTGCTGAGTCGTCAAATCAAAAGTGTCTACCTCAGTAGGGGAGCGGCACGGGAAGGTGTTTTTGTAACGTCAAACGTCAGCGAGACTTCAATTCTCCTACAGATTCATATGCTGTACAGGTCTGTTTGCATACGGCCTAGTGAAATTGTAATAGAGGTCGCAAAGGTACGACCAAACTCCTTGGCCGCTCGCCTGGCTGGCGAGAAACTTCTTTTTATTTTTATTATTTTACGACTGTCACTTTTTTCTCTTCTTCTTGACTTTTCTACTTCGAAATAAACAACATGTAATTTGATTTTATTATACAATATAATTTTATTTTACACCAGAAAGCCTTTCAATCAAATAATCTCTCGTAGTGTCGGTGACGTATTTCGGTCATATGCTCTGTCACGTCATAATATTATTATGTCTGTCACCTCTCCCGTACCGTGACTGATTTGAGCGCTTATTTTTTTTTATTATTCTATGTAATATAACTACACCAAAAAAGTTTTAGAACTCGTGGGCGGGGTGGTATAAAACCATGAATATGGACACCGTCTGGAAAGGTAATACTTACTTCACGAACCAAACGCGATCTTCTGTGCAAACCAAACGATCTTGATACACGCGCTGGTGCTCATGGTACCATAGTCGGATCACGTCGTCTTCGTCCTAGAAAAGCATATCCCTTCACAATAAAAGTACTCAAATGACGGCTAGATGATTAAAACTTTAAACAGTTGGTGTGGGCGTTAAGACATGTTATTAAAGTCCAATATATTATTATCTAAGTAGTAATAGCGAAAGTAGTGACATGTGATATAATAGTGCCACGATTACTACATCACTGTTTTAATATCTGAAGCACATGTGTACTCTTGTTGAAGTCTTCTTCTTTTCGTGTCGACAACAAACCTACACAGTGTCAGCCCAAAACTCCGCCACAAGAGGATTGCAGTACAGTGAGTGCACTCAGGAGGATTTGATGATGCTACTGACAACGCCACTGTTGTTGAAGTTTGACACCGCCAGATATATTTAACTCTTCCACTACCACTCGGTGCGCAATGCTTCAATCTTCCGCCGCTGCTCTGCACTGCTCACTTCAAAACTACTCTAAGGCCCGGTTTCCACCACGGCAAAGTGGAGCGCAGAAATGATTTGAATAAATAATCAGATTTCATGGCTGCTGTTCAAAACATTTCTCCGCTCTGCTCCATCAAGGTGGAAACCGGGCCTATGCATGTATACTGCGTACCTTGACGGCATGTGGATCCATCATAAGTATCCCCTGGAACACCTTGCTCAGGTCTCGCAGGTTGAAGGTGTAGTGCGACTTGGTAGGCGTGGGAAGCAGTTCCTCCACCAGCGACGCAAAGATGTCTATGGATGCTTTGAGGAACGGCCCCTCGCGGACTTTCACGTCTTTCTCGATGAAGCGCGTCCACGAGCACAGGATTGTGTTGAATATTGCGTACTAGAACAATAGTATTTTGTTAATATAAGGAAATATGAGGTAGAAGCCTAGTTTTCTGCTTTACTTTGCATGCTCAAAGTGCAGCGCAATAATGGCGCGATTTCAGCGCCACATTGACAGAACATCATTGCGATAAAAACAGTTTGACGAGATCTGTGACTGTGAGGCATATTAGCCTCACACTTAGCCTCACACTAGCGTTTTTCGAAAGCCTTGGTGTCGCCAGCGTCTGCGCAATGTAGACGCGATGAGCCCTCTCTCTTTTAATTTACTAAATAACACGACGCCAGCGCGTCGACAGCCCCTCGACATTAGCTTCGCGGCGAAAACCGTAGGGGGTCCTCTTATCTGATGGTGATGGAAGCTATTCAGTCACACAAATGTATACATGCGCTTGACTGTTAGTTCTGACCTTGCTAGCGTACACCAATTCTGAGAATGTTAACAACACTGATGACACGACTGATGCGCGATAACGGCGCGACTGCAGCGAGCGCCATAGTGACTCGACTGTAGCGCGATAGTGACGCGACTGTAGCGCGACAGTGACGCGACTGTAGCGCGATAGTGACGCGACTGTAGCGCGATAGTGTCGCGACTGTAGCGCAATGGTGACGCGGCTACAAGACTCGACTATTTTGTTCTGACCTTGCTAGCGTACTCCATCTCGGTGAAGGAGACGTAGTGGAAGTGTCGCATGAGGCGCATGGTGACGGGGTTGCGGCCGCCGCCGGGCGGGCCCATGGCGGCCACGATGCCCACGTCCACCAGCATCTTGAACTGAACCCGATAGTGACGCGACTGTAGCGCGACAGTGACACGACTGTAGCGCGATAGTGACACGACTGTAGCGCGACAGTTACGCGACTGTAGCGCGAAAGTGCCGCGACTGTAGGGCGATAGTGACGCGACTGTAGCGCGATAGTGACGCGACTGTAGCTCGACAGTGACGCGACTGTAGCGCGACAGTGACGCGACTGTAGCGCAATAGTGACGCGACTGAAGCGCGATAGTGACGCAACTGTAGCGCGATAGTGACGCGACTGTAGCGCGACAGTGACGCAACTGTAGCGCGACAGTGACGCGACTGTAGCGCGACAGAGACGCGACTGTAGCGCGACATTGACGCGACTGTAGCGCGACAGTGACGCGACTGTAGCGCGACAGTGACGCGACTGTAGCGCAATAGTGACGCGACTGAAGCGCGATAGTGACGCAACTGTAGCGCGACAGTGACGCGACTGTAGCGCTGTAGACTACGTCCCTACCTTGCTGGCGTACTCCATCTCGGTGAAGGAGACGTAGTGGAAGTGTCGCATGAGGCGCATGGTGACGGGGTTGCGGCCGCCGCCGGGCGGGCCCATGGCGGCCACGATGCCCACGTCCACCAGCATCTTGAACTGAACCCGATAGTGACGCGACTGTAGCGCGACAGTGACGCGACTGTAGCGCTGTAGACTACGTCCTACCTTGCTGGCGTACTCCATCTCGGTGAAGGAGACGTAGTGGAAGTGTCGCATGAGGCGCATGGTGACGGGGTTGCGGCCGCCGCCGGGCGGGCCCATGGCGGCCACGATGCCCACGTCCACCAGCATCTTGAACTGAACCCGATAGTGACGCGACTGTAGCGCGACAGTGACGCGACTGTAGCGCTGTAGACTACGCTCCTACCTTGCTGGCGTACTCCATCTCGGTGAAGGAGACGTAGTGGAAGTGTCGCATGAGGCGCATGGTGACGGGGTTGCGGCCGCCGCCGGGCGGGCCCATGGCGGCCACGATACCCACGTCCACCAGCATCTTGAATTCGCCGATGTTCGTGCGGTCGTACCAGCCTGGGACAAACATAAGTTTTATGATTAAAAAAAGCTTTTTATTTCATTTAAGGCCCTCGCTGCAAGGACCTTTCCCACAAGAATAAGAATAAGAATAAGAATAAGAATAAGAATAAATTTATTACTTAATAAAACTTAGCCTAGATACATTTGATTTCACTTACTTAAATTAAGGTTAGTGTGCGAAGGCACAGACGAGGCGAGAGAAGACGAAACATTAAAAGCAAGCGATAGAATTTCGTTATTTTCCACTATAGTTTCCGGTCAGCTTCAGTTGAAACGGTTGATTGGAGCGGAGAAAAAATATGTTGATACAAAATGCATCGCACTGAGCGGGATGGAGCGGGGTGAAAACGAGAAGATCCTTTCTGAAAATGAAAAATTTGCACACATCTCCGCTCCGCTCCACTTAAATACAGTATTACAATACACTCCGAAATAACCTGCCTGTACCTGCCTTATAAAGGTTGCAGGAATGTCGCTGGATGCAGCTGCTAACCGTCCAATCTGGAAATCATAGGGGGGAGGCCTACGTTTAGCAGTGGATGTCCTGTGGCTGATGATGATGATGATAATAAACCTGCCTGTTATGTCACTTGTTTCAACACAGTCTCCGCTTTGGTTAAAACGGCCTTCAAGATGTGTTAGTATAAGACAGTCATGTCAAGTCTACGTTGGTCACNAGAGCGACAGCGGCGCGACTGCAGTGCGATGACAGAGCGACTACGACTTCAGCGAGATAGTGACACGACTACTGCTTGACAACAGCGCAACTGCTGCGGCGCGATAACAGCGCGACTACAGCGTAATAGTGACTCGATTGCAACGCGATAGCGATGCGACTACAGAGCAATAACGATGCGACTGCCACGAGACTACAGAGCGCTAACGGCGCGACTGCAGCGCTATAGTGACCCGACTGCTGCACAATAACAACGCGGCTACAGAGCGATAACAGAGCGATTGTAGCGTGGTGACGCTCCTCTCGTCTCGTCTCCTCTAGTCTCGTCTCGTCTCCTAGTCTCGTCTCGTCTCTTCTCGTTTCGTTTCGTCTCGTCTCGTCTCTTCTCTTCTCTTTTCGTCTCGTCTCTTCTCGTTTCGTTTCGTCTCGTCTCTTGTGTCTCAATGTCTCGACTGGAGCCTGCTCCTCTCGCCTCGTCTCCTCTAGTTTCGTCTCCTCTAGTCTCGTCTCCTGTATCTCTGCGTCTCGCCAGGAGCCTACTAGCTTCACCTCACCCTCTCTCGTCTCCAGGCTCAGGCTGCGGCACTCACCGGAGAAGTCCATGAACTGGCGGAGCAGCTCGATGGGCGGCTGCGCGCCGTACACCTCCAGCGCGGGCATGTTGAGGTCGTCGATGAAGAACACCTGCCGCTTGGTGGGCGGCGGCCCGAACACGCCGCGCCGCCGCCGCTCCAGCTTGCTGCCACGGCCTGGGACGCTGAGGCACGCGGCGAGAGAGACCATGGCGCGACTGCAGCGCGATGACAGAGCGACTACGACTTCAGCGAGATAGTGACACGACTTCTACTTGACAACAGCGCAACTGCTGCGGCGCGATAACAGAGCGACTGCAGCGCGACAGAGAGACTGCAGCGCGACTGTAGCGTAATAGTGACACGACTGCAACGCGATAGCGACGCGACTACAGAGCAATAACGATGCGTCTGCCACGAGACTACAGAGCGCTAACGGCGCGACTGCAGCGCTATAGTGACCCGACTGCTGCACAATAACGACGCGACTACATAGCGACTGTAGCGTGGTGACTCTCCTCTCGTCTCGTTTCCTCTCCTCTAGTCTCGTCTCGTCTCGTCTCCTAGTCTCGTCTCATCTCGTCTCGTCTCCTGTCTCTGCGTCTCGCCTGGAGCCTGCCAGCTTCATCTCCCCTCCTCCCTTCATCTCCCCTTTTCTCAGCACTCACCCGAGAAGTCCATGAACTGCCTGAGCAGCTCGATGGGCGGCTGCGCGCCGTACACCTCCAGCGCGGGCATGTTGAGGTCGTCGATGAAGAACACCTGCCGCTTGGTGGGCGGCGGCCCGAACACGCCGCGCCGCCGCCGCTCCAGCTTGCTGCCACGGCCTGGGACGCTGAGGCACGCGGCGAGAGCGACAAGGCGCGACTGCAGCGCGATGACAGAGCGACTACGACTTCAGCGAGATAGTGACACGACTACTGCTTGACAACAGCGCAACTGCTGGAGCTCGATAACAGTGCGACTGCAGCGCGACTGCAGCGTAATAGTGACACGACTGCAACGCGATAGCGACACGACTACAGAGCAATAACGATGCGACTGCCACGAGACTACAGAGCGCTAACTGCGCGACTGCAGCGCTATAGTGACCCGACTGCTGCACAATAACGACGCGACTACATAGCGACTGTAGCGTGGTGATGCTCCTCTCGTCTCGTCTCCTCTCCTCTAGTCTCGTCTCGTCTCGTCTCCTCTCCAAGTCTCGTATCTTTTCTTGTGTCTCAATGTCTCGACTGGAGCCTCCTCCTCTCGCCTCGTCTCAACTAGTTTCGTCTCCTCTCGTCTCGTCTCCTGTCTCTACTCCTGGCTCGTCTACTGGCAGCAGCACTCACCGGAGAAGTCCATGAACTGCCGGAGCAGCTCGATGGGCGGCTGCGCGCCGTACACCTCTCCTCTAGTCTCCTCTAGCCTCGTCTCGTCTCCTGTCTCTACTCCTGGCTCGTCTACTGGCAGCAGCACTCACCGGAGAAGTCCATGAACTGCCTGAGCAGCTCGATGGGCGGCTGCGCGCCGTACACCTCCAGCGCGGGCATGTTGAGGTCGTCGATGAAGAACACCTGCCGCTTGGTGGGCGGCGGCCCGAACACGCCGCGCCGCCGCCGCTCCAGCTTGCTGCCACGGCCTGGGACGCGACGCGATAGTGACGAGACTACAAAGCAATAACGATGCGTCTGCCACGAGACTACAGAGCGCTAACGGCGCGACTGCAGCGCTATAGTGACCCGACTGCTGCACAATAACAACGCGGCTACAGAGCGATAACAGAGCGATTGTAGCGTGGTGACGCTCCGATAGTCTCGTCTCCTCTCTTTAGTCTCGCCTCTCCTATAGTCTCATTTCGTCTCGCTCCCTCTGCTATAGTCTCATCTCCTGTGTCTTAGTATCTCGAGTGGAGCCTGTCAGCTTCGCCGCACATCTTCTCTCGTGTCGTGTCCTATGTCTCTGCGTCTCGCCTGGAGCCTGCCAGCTTCATCTCCCCTCCTCCCTTCTTCTCCCCTTTTCTCAGCACTCACCAGAGAAGTCCATGAACTGCCTGAGCAGCTCGATGGGCGGCTGCGCGCCGTACACCTCCAGCGCGGGCATGTTGAGGTCGTCGATGAAGAACACCTGCCGCTTGGTGGGCGGCGGCCCGAACACGCCGCGCCGCCGACGCTCCAACTTGCTGTCTATCACGTCCTGGAAAGATTATAAACTCATTTTTTTTTTTTGCATATAGGGGGCCATCCATAAAGTACGTCACACGAATTTCATGATTTTTTTACCCCCCCCTCCGTCCTTGTCACAGGTGGTCACATTTCTGAGACCCCCCCCCCTCCCTAGTGTGACGTCACCTGNCCGCTCCAACTTGCTGTCTATCACGTCCTGGGAACGATTGACCAGAGGGCCTTTGTGTAAGTTTACATCAAACGCGCTCACTAGTGAGCGCGTCAAAAAATAACATTAAATGGATTATACAGCGCCCCTAGCGGGAAACGTTCAAAAACTAAAATTTTAATACATTTTTAACGTGCTCACTAGTGACTCTAGTGAGCGCGTTTGATGTAAACTCACACTCAGCCCTCAGTTGATTAGACAGATAAAGGTGTTCCAAACCAACACATGTTTAGCGCCATCTCTATAAAAAGTTTGTAAAGCGCCATCTATGATTCTTCTTACTTAAAGAGCGAACGGTGTCGACATCGAATTGCCGATTTGTAAGTCGCTAGATCATTACCCGTCGACCGCCAAACTTTTATAGTGTGTACTCCTAATAAAATCACACTGACGCAAGCGTATGTATATTTATAAGAAGCATTTTACAGTAACGGCCTTCTGTCGAATGACCTCATTTCAGATGCCAAGCATCGACCTTTCGATATCCAGTACCTCTAGTAGGAAAAACTTTCGAGTTCGTTTCGTTGCGTATTCAAAGTGTCATCGAAAAATTTTGTATGAAAAATTAAACAGCGCCTCCTATATTATAGCCGCCCTAGGGGGCGCTGTTTAATTTTTCATACAAAATTTTTCGATGACACTTTGAATACGCAACGAAACGAACTCGAAAGTTTTTCCTACTAGAGGTACAGTAAAGCTTATAATATTCCAATAAAGTGCTACTAATCATACCTGCGTCTGATTAGCCGAAGTCCTAGCGGAGAACACGATGAACTCGCATATAAACTTCTTGTGAAGCCCGCGTGACAATTTCGACGTGATCGTGACAGTCTTGCCCGTGCCCGTTGGCCCGACGCAGATCACGTGGTTGTAGTTAGCTATCTTGTAGCCGAGCATAGCCGCGCTGCGTACATTGTCTAGCGTTGGGACTTCGATATCTGTGAAGGAAGAATCCATCATCGTCTTTGGGTTATTTACTCCCCACTGCTGGTGTTTAAATCTAAGTTTGCGGGCACAAACTGGCGACGGCGGAGCGGCGTCGATGCATACAACAACATGGACAGTTTTATGGTGACGCGCACAAAACGGGCGACATCGGAGCGGGGCGATTTAAATACTACTCCTCATCGCCCGAGTCACTCCGCCATCTCTCGGCCAGTTTCGTGCCCTGATGAAGGCTATCGTAAAGTCCTTATCAACAAACCATACCATAATCTGAGGATGATGGTGTTTATCTTGAAACAATGTGTTGCACCTTCCCTAGTTGTAATAAGTACGATTTTACAACAAAAGTGTATAGTCTAGTGACTAGACTGCTTCCCCCTGGGGGGTTGCGAAGCCTCTATACGGGGGTCGCGAGAGGTCGTAAAAACTACCTCAGTAAAAAAAACAGTAATGTTTTAAAGATAGATTTATTAGAAATCTAATTATGAAAATGCNTTATTTCCATTTAAATTAAGTACATTTTTTATGAAATCAACATTATATCAAATATTTGAAACAATTGAAATGTGATGTCACGAAACTTAGGACCCCTCCCACCCCTTGTCACACCATGTCACACTTTGTCAACCCCCTCCCCCCCTCTTTACGTGTGACGTACTTTATGGATGACCCCTAGGCTTTTAAAAAGCTCTTTTACACGTCCCAATATTAACCCTAACATTGCTTAGGGACAATAAATGAGCCAGTGCTGAGAAGAATCAGTCACCACTGTCTATGTAGTAGACAGATACACAACCTGGTCGAGTTGACTGCAAGCACCTGGTCAGCCGTGATTGATTATATTGACGCTCTGGCACGGACGATGCCAACGTGGAAAGGTGTGCGGGTAAATGGGAGGGAAAGTCGCCTACGCTAATACATGTGCGTCGCCACCCGCCTCGTGCGCCCGCTTATATGTATATCCACGCCCGGCCCTAGCACGAGTCTGGAAACTCGTCTTCCACGCCACACATACTATTTTATGATAGACGCGCGTGAGTTTATTGTAGGCCCTAAAACCCTTTATTATGTACAAAAATTTGTCGGAATAATCTCTTTAACAGTAAACAGGTTACAAAAGAGAGAACGGTATCGACATCCACTAACACAAGCAATAAAAATCATACTAACGCAAGTGTATGTATGTTTTCTATGAAGCCTTTTAAAGCAATTATATATTTAAGACCTAATGTACACTGTGAAATGCAATAAATATTTGAGTATTGAGTATTGTAACACTAAACTAAATTAAATAAATACATAAAAATAAACGCTGACAGCGGTCAGCGACGGCTGGGCAGACAAGATGTCTTGTAAACGGTGGGCCAGCTATACGTCATATTCTAGTGAACTAATCCATATTCCAGGTTCCAATGAGCTAATCCATATTCCAGATTCTAGTGAACTAATCGTACCTGGGTCTGATTAGCCGAAGTCCTAGCGGAGAACACGATGAACTCGCAAATAAACTTCTTGTGCAGCCCGCGTGACAGTTTCGACGTGATGGTGACAGTCTTGCCAGTACCTTTGATTCTTGAACTTTTTGTGTCACCCACGGGAATCGTACCTGGGTCTGATTAGCGGACGTCCTAGCGGAGAACACGATGAACTCGCATATAAACTTCTTGTGCAGCCCGCGTGACAGTTTCGACGTAATCGTGACAGTCTTGCCAGTACCTTTGATTCTTGAACTTTTTGTGTCGCCCACGGGAATCATACCTGGGTCTGGTTAGCCGAAGTCCTAGCGGAGAACACGATGAACTCGCATATAAACTTTTTGTGCAGCCCGCGTGACAATTTCGACGTGATCGTGACAGTCTTGCCAGTACCCGTTGGCCCGACGCAGATCACGTGGTTGTAGTTAGCTATCTTGTAGCCGAGCATAGCCGCGCTGCGTACATTGTCTAGCGTGGGGACTTCGATATCTATGGAGGAAGGGTCAAACATCATCATAGGGTCATTTACTCCCTACTGCAGTAGCTGACTATACCATACCAGTAACCCCTTTGAAAACAAAATTCCTGTATGTGTTACCATAGCGGTCCCTTAAAAATTAGGAATTGATGGTGAAAACGGACATGTGTCTAATTAAGGCTACCATTTAGTCCTCACTGACGGAGCTTAATGTCCGTTTTCACCATAACCCTAATTTTTAAGTGACCCTTTTGAAAACAAAATTCCTGTTATGTGTTATCATAGGGATCCCTTGAAAATTAGGAATTGATGGTGAAAACGGACATGTGTCTAATTAAGGCTACCGTATTTGCCATCACCAGATATTGCCGCTATGGAGTAAGGTACTGTCACTCGCTAGTAGCTAAGACTGTGGCGCCAACTGATGAGCGCAAATCGGTGAAGCGCTATCGCATTGTCACTCGCTAAGATGGCGCCACCGTAGAGTAAAATAATGTCATTGGTCAATGACAAGTGTTATTATAAAAACGATAGCCCTTACTGAGGCAATGAGTACCATGAAGGCAAGAAGGATATGGCTCTCTACGCTGGCTAGACGGGTTTGCGAGGCTTGATGTTCGCATATTCCTCCCTTAGATGCCTCCCTTAGGACCGACGACTATAAAGGTAGCAGGAAGGCGCTGGATGCAGGCCGTTACCAACCGTGCGATGTGGAAGTCATTGGGGGAGGCCTATGTTCAGCAGTGGACGTCGTATGGCTGAAAAGATGATGATGATGAGATGCTTCTTACAATATCAACGGGAAGAATGCGGGTGGTCCTTATCAACAAACCATACCATAATCTGAGGATGGTGGTGTTTATCTTGAAACAATGTGTTGCACCTTCTCTAGTTGTAATAGCTACGATTTTACAACAAAAGTCTGGTCTAACCTGCGAACTGCCACTCAGGGTCGACCTCATACTCCTCCATATTGGCCATCCAGTTGTACCAGTACGGGTTGGCTGGCTCTCCATCATCGGTCGGGTCAGTGAAACCTCCGTCGTGTAATCTGAGAAATAAGTATAAAATTATCTTATCGATTGTTTTCTATGTATAACACGTCAGTGCACTGATATGATAACTGGGAGTGCCTACATAAAGCAGAAACCAAATAAATAAATAATAAATAAATATCCTTGGACATTTTACACTGCGCTTCTAGTCCCAAACTAAGCAAAGCTTGTACTATGGGTACTAGACAACGGATATAAACATACTTAAATACTTTTTTTTTGTAAATACATACATAAAGGCACGTCACCCTGATGTGAAGGATCAGTACCTCTATCATTATCGGGGGTCTCCATTGCCAATAGTGTCAAATAGTGGGTAGATTGGCGTGGGTAATCGGGCGAGGAAAATTAAACGAACTTTCACCATTAAGTCCAAGCTATTTTAATAATCACCGAGATATTACTTCTATTACATTGCCGATATTAGAATTAATCGAAAATCACAGACACTCCACCGAACACGTAGCGTAGTTGCGCGATGCAAATCGATGTAACCGCTATGAAGGCTGCGCTCGACTGCGGGCGCGCGCCAGCGCTCGGTGTTGCGTCAGAGCGGGACGACTACCCCGCTCTAAAATAATCGATGCGCCGTCACGGCCAGACTGACATTCGCACGTCCTCGTGCGATCTCATATGCCAGTCACTCTCCTCCTCCCGTTAATCTGCAGGGACAAAATGAATAACTGGTAAATCCCACCCACGCTCGTCCATCACTGACATAATTTATGAAGACGGTGAATTAAGCACACACACACACACACACCAACATAATGGACCGGACAACTGAGCGCAAGCGTCCCTTCGACCAGCCTCCATCTGATATGGTGACATGGACCGGACAACCCCTCAGCGTCCCTTCGACCATTTACCAAACCATAAACTCCATAACGCCTCTCACAGGCCAACTCAGCCTCTCACAGGCCAACTCAGCCTCTCACAGGCCAACTCAGCCTCTCACAGGCCAACTCAGCCTCTCACAGGCCAACCCAGCCTATCACAGGCTACAGCAGACTGATTAGGAACATCGACCAATATAAGCCAGTCCCCAAACCAATCCCTTGATCCCAATGTAGTCAGGCTTTTAGGACATCGACCATCATAAGCCAGTCCCTTAACCTACTACGACAAAGGTACTCCCAGTCTCTCACACACAATATTACACACACGGACAATGAAAAAATAACACTCACATAAAGTTAGGGCTCGTCTAATTCAGAGGCAGAGAGGGTTCCGGAAGTAGCGGAACAAGTACGCGAGCCATCAACAGACACGGTTTCACTATCATCATCGGACGAAACCCTCTCCATCTCATTTTGACCCTGGCCCGCCGTCTCGGCCACTTCGTCACAGTCAGTAAGAGAAGTAGCTATTTCAAGTAAGCCATCGTAGCCTCTGGGTACCGCACGTAAATTTTCGTGTGCATACTTATACGTTCTATTAGACCCGTCAATATTCCGCAGCTCATACCGGTCATGATCTAGCACGCGAGTAATTACAAACGGACCCCTAAATTTCCTATGCAGTTTCGTCTGGTTGCGTTCACTGGATTTTATGAAGACGTACTCACCAGTAGAAAATGGTTTTACCACTGCGCGGCCTCGGTTAAATCGTTCTATTTCAGAAGACGCGGCCTTACTAATGTTTTGCGCTGCAATGTTTCTAGCTTCCTCTAAATCTATACGCTGTTCTGGTTCTACTTGGTGGGCTATACGGGATATGCCTAAAGACTGCGCGCGTATACCGAACATCAATTCTGTTGGAGTGTAACCTGTGACTCGAGATCGCGTACTGTTTAATGCTAGCTGGACATCAGGAAGTTCGTCTCGCCATGTTTTGTTGGGGTCATTTTCTATAATAGTGAGAAGGCTCTTTAAAGTGCGCATCACTCGCTCCACTTGACCATTGGCCCTACTGGAACCCGTAGCGATAAAATGTAGTTCGATGTTGTGGTCAGAACAGAACTGCTTAAAGTCGGCGCTGATGTAACACCGACCCTGATCGGCAATTATCCGCTTGGGGGCTCCAAAAAGACAAACGGCTTTCTTTAGGGCTTTAACTGCACTAGCAGCATCGAGAGAGGAAGTATACTCTAAGAGAACGTACTTAGTGAAGGAATCGATTATAACAGAAGAGTATTCTTTCCTATCGCTTTTTCCACTTAGTTTGCCTGTGATATCTATATGGATGGTGTGCCAAGGCGTAGCAGCTTTAGGGATGGGATGCAGCCTGACCTGTTGGGCTCCTGAGCAACCTTTGGAAGCCTTACACACAATACATGAACTTACAAACATGCGAACTTGTTTCGCCATTTGTGGGAACCAATACTGTTCGTACAGTTTATCTAGGGTCTTTTCTGCGCCTAAGTGCATGATTTCTGTATGCACGTGGTTGATCAAAGTCCATGTAAGAGACCTGGGGACAATTGGAAGCCAAAAAGTGCTTTTGTTGCGTTCTACTTTCCTGTATAGTATACCCTGCCTAATGTCATATGTATGAGCTACTGCTTCGGGGAGTTCCCTATTAGTATGCTTTGAAATAAGGTCTTGGATTTCACTATCACGTTTCTGCTCTACTGCCAACCAGCCTTGGTGCAACTCAACGAAATGGACATCTTTAATTTTCTTTACCGTGTCATGTGTCTTATCTAACTCTGACTGTCCGGGTGGAGATTCTGATTGAGGAAGATTTCTAGACAAAAAGTCTGCGTGTTCCATGCTGGTACCCTGTTTGTGGACTATGTCAAAGTCATAGGCCTGCAGAAAGGCCCACCAACGATGGACACGCGGGGTAAGGTCTGTTTTGGACTTGGACGCTTTGAGAGAATTGCAGTCCGTAAAGACTGTGAAATGCTGTCCATATAAATAGTGGCGGAAGTTTTCTACCGCTCGAACGACCGCCAGGGTTTCTAGTTCGTACGAATGATACCTAGATTCCGTGTCGGTCGTTCGACGGCTGAAATACGACACAACATGAGGTACATTGTCTTTACGCTGTATAAGTATTGCCCCGTATCCTTCAGAACTCGCGTCTGTGTGGAGCTCGATAGGAGCATCACGGTCAAATATTGTGAGCACAGGCTCAGACGTCAGTATTTTAACAATTTTCTTATGGATCTCATCATGGGCTTCAGTCCATTTTATTGGACCCTTTAATTTTGTCAGCGGGTAAAGAGGTCCTACAAGACGAGTATAGTTTGGTACAAACCGCCTAAAATAGGAGGCAAGGCCCAAAAATTGCCTAACCTGTGTGGCCGTCTTTGGGGTCGGTGCATTTGCCAAGGCTTGAATCTTCTTAGGGTTTGGAGCTACTTCACCAGATTTTATAACATAGCCAAGATAATCGATTTGACCCTTCATGAATTTACATTTCTTAATATTGAAAGAAAATCCGGCTTCCGATAACGCTAAGAGTGTTTTGTCAAGGCGTTCTAGGCCCTGGGTGACGTCACTTGAATAGCAGAGCACATCATCCATATACGCTAAGGCTACTTTATCTTTTAGGGGACCTAGGGCCTTATTTATGCACCGCTGATATACAGAAGCTGAGTTACGTAACCCGAAGGGCATGGCCAGATACTCATACTGACCTTCAGGTGTCACGAAGGCTGTTCGGGCTATGCTATCGCTATCGCTGTCAACTAAAATTTGGTGGTACCCGGATGCCATGTCCAGGGAAGAAAAATAATGAGCACCATGAAGACGATCTATTTGTTCGTCAATCCTGGGCAGGGGAAAGTGTTCTGGACGCGTGTTTGCGTTAAGTTCTCTATAATCCACGCACATTCTGTCCGTTCCGTCCTTTTTTTTTACTAGGAGGATTGGGCTAGCGAACGGGGAGTTACTCTCGCGGATGACACCTGCTTTTAAAAGAGATTCTATTTTGTCCTTAACAATTTCCTTTTCCGTAGGTGCTAATCTGTAGGGGCGCCTCTGAACAATTTTATTAGGGTCAATGGGATCTATGCGCAAAGTACCAGTCGTCACACGTCGTGTAGGTATGCCATCGATAAAGAAGTCACTATATTTTTTTAATATGTTGATAAGAGCGGTTTTATCGTCGCCCTCTAAATCGGTGTCTATCATGGAAAAGTCAAAACTGTCAGATTTATCGGTCAAGTTAACTTTCTTGCTCAAGGAAAACTCTATTTTATCGCTATTGATTTGTACACGGACATCGTTTTCTAGCAAATCTCTGCCTATAATAACGGGTTCTGTTATACTACCATCGGGAACAATATGGAAAAGTAAAGGTACCGTAATCCCTTGAATAGTGACGGGGCTAAAGACCTGCGACACACATTTCACGTCCTCTTTACCGATACCGGTTAGACAAACCAAATTGTTATGCAAAGTACCCGGAAACTTCTCAGCAAAGCTACTAGTCACTAACGAGCAAGCGGAACCACTATCAAAAAGAAAGGAGACGGGCTCACCAGATGATGTAGTTAAGGTGCTCCTGGATGCTCTGCGCTCGCAGACGTGGACCTCCTTGGTTGTCGCTGGCGCTCCTCCTCCTCCTCTTCTGTCTGGACACGTCGATGCGAGGTGCCCTGGTTGGCCACACACGAAGCAGGTGAGTGAACGCGACGTTTCCGGTGTCTTCGATGATAGGTCCGAAGTCTTGGTCGCTGCCGGTATATTATCACGTCTTCTACGGCAGTCTAGCGCCTTATGTCCTAGAGCGCCACAACGGTGACACGTTCCGGTAAAGCGTGGTTCCATAAAACGAGCTCTCTTAGTTTCGATGTCTTGGGTCATGTCGTTGATGTCATGTCGACGTTTCAGTGAAATCCCATTAAGAATACGAAAAAGTTGGGCTCTCGTTGATACATTGTGCGAGTGCAGCTCTCTTCGAATGGCGGGATCCTTCTGGCTTAGTACGGCGGCTACAAACCCAGTCTGTATGTCTTCGGCCATTTCGGTACGTGGTATGCGTTCTATGAGACTCCAGAGCCGCATAGCTGCTTCACACGCTGTCTCCTTGGGTCCAACTTGAAATCGAAGTATATCATCGAAGTAGTCTTGAGCCAACATGGGTTTCGCAAATTTGGCTAGCAGCAATTCTTTTATCTGAGGCCATGATAGCTGCGAAGCTTGTAGCTTTGTTAAGCATGAAGCAGCTCGCCCCTTCAAAGCGTGTGTAAGTACCAGCAATAGCTCTGCGCCTTCTAATTTTCTATTGTCAATTATTATCTCGGTCACTCTGCACCAACCTTCTATATCCGCTTCACTGTCGTCAGGGTTGAACTGGATCAGCTGGGTACTGGCACTGGTTGAACGTTCCGGTTGCGGCGTCGACAATAATCTTGATAACAAGGTCTCCATATGAAGCACAAAGTTCGGTGTCGTTGTCTCTCGGCCACGGACATTTTCCTCAGATGTTTGCCCTTCGCATCCCACTTCTGATAAAGGCACGTCACCCTGATGTGAAGGATCAGTACCTCTATCATTATCGGGGGTCTCCATTGCCAATAGTGTCAAATAGTGGGTAGATTGGCGTGGGTAATCGGGCGAGGAAAATTAAACGAACTTTCACCATTAAGTCCAAGCTATTTTAATAATCACCGAGATATTACTTCTATTACATTGCCGATATTAGAATTAATCGAAAATCACAGACACTCCACCGAACACGTAGCGTAGTTGCGCGATGCAAATCGATGTAACCGCTATGAAGGCTGCGCTCGACTGCGGGCGCGCGCCAGCGCTCGGTGTTGCGTCAGAGCGGGACGACTACCCCGCTCTAAAATGATCGATGCGCCGTCATACATATTATGTATGAAAACACCCAGTCCAATACAAACAAATATGTTCATGCACACAAATGGTTTTTGGCACTGTTCAAAGAATTAAAAAAGACTAAAGCCCCAAAGTCGCGACAGCAATATAATTACGCGCGAGGGATAAGGATGGGTAGCTTGGGGTCATTGGACGGGATTCTACGTGCTCACGGACCAGGCTTTACCAATTTTGTAAAATACATAATTCCCGTATCCAATACATTATCAACTAGGAACTTTTATTGGTGACTATTTGTCACACCCTGTTTTACAACAAGCCAGTTACGTATCGTCACAGTCCCGTTAGGAAAAGAGCGGATTCATAATGTATTCCGACGATCACTTCTCTCATCATAACAGGCTAAGGCTAATGCCCGTTTTTACCATCAATCCCTATTTTTTAAGTGACCCCTATGGTAACACATAGTAGGAATTTTGTTTTCAAAGGGGTCACTTAAAATTAGGAATTGATGGTGAAAACGGGCATAAGAATACAGTACCATCAAATAGAACAGAGATTTAGTCAGTACAATATTGCGATTTCTGATACACAGAAAATAAAATGGGGATGAGATTCTCACCGTGACAATATTGCAACGAGCTATTATTTATTTATTACAAGACAATTACAATGAGGGCTATCGTTTTAGCGCTCACCAGTTAGCGCCACTGTAGAGTAAGGTCCTGTCACTTGCTAGTAGCGAAGACAGTGGCACCAACTGGTGAGCGCGAAAGTGGTAGGAGGACTATCGTATTTGCACTCATCAAGATGGCGCCACTGTAGAGTAAGGTCCTGTCAATCGCCAGGGGTGCCAACTGTTAAGTATAAAAACGATAGCCCTCATTACAAGCTTTATGAATCACAAGAAGCAACTCACGTATAATCATACACGCGTCCCTCCTTAGGAAACAGCGGCTTCAGGCCGTTCTCCTCGGTGAGCTTGCGCATGAATTCGGAGAATATCGCGCGCCCGTTGTGGTCGCACGTTGCGCCCACGGACCATATCACCGCCCACACCACCCAGCACGGCGCTAGTTTGGCTGCAAGGTGACAATAAACACACTTTTAGTGTCTAAAGTCTGTTCGCCGAGAGTTGATAAAAAAAATTTAATATCAGAGGTTCTAAACTCATTATAAATTGCGGCCCGCTAATTGTTTTTGTCGATATAATGAAAAAGTTGGTAGATTATTTGGCCTGGCCTTTTTTTTGGCCTGGATTCTCGGCTCGGTTACAATTTAATTTTGGACGACTTGTTCACTCAGCGGCGGCTGCATGCAGTAGTCCAGCAACAGTACGAGTTGCGAGTCGATGAAGACACCCCCTCTCCTCTTCACCTCTCCTGGATAGAGTCTTAAGGGTACACTGAGCGACACTCACGTAGCATAGCAATAAAAGCGGCCCCAGGCGGCGGGCGGTCGTCCTTCCCAGTCAGCGGCCGCATGCGGTAATCCAGGAGTTCTAAACACTTCAGCACCAGCTGCGAGTCGATGGATACACCGTCCTTCTTCCCCCTAAACTACAGATTTAGCGCTACACTAAACGACACTCAACGGCGGCTGCATGCAGTAGTCCAGCAACAGTACGAGTTGCGAGTCGATGAAGACACCCCCTCTCCTCTTCACTTCTTCTGACTAGAGACTTAACGGCACACTAAGCGACACTCACGTAGCATAGCAATGAAAGCGGCCCCAGGCGGCGGACGGTCGTCCTTCCCAGTCAGCGGCCGCATGCGGTAATCCAGGAGTTCTAAACACTTCAGCACGAGCTGCGCCGCACACGATAATCCAGCAACTCCAGACACTTCAGCACGAGCTGAGAGTCAATGTAGACAGCTCCCCCCTACCCCCAAGGCTATAGTATTAGCGTTACACTAGTCTACACTCACGCAGCATAGCAATAAAAGCGGCCCCAGGCGGCGGGCGGTCGTCCTTCCCAGTCAGCGGCCGCATGCGGTAATCCAGGAGTTCTAAACACTTCAGCACGAGCTGCGAGTCAATGGACACACCTCCTCCTTCCCCCTAGACTACAGATTTAGTACTACACTAGTCTACACTCACGTAGCATAGCAATAAAAGCGGCCCCAGGCGGCGGACGGTCGTCCTTCCCAGTCAGCGGCCGCATGCGGTAGTCCAGGAGTTCTAAACACTTCAGCACTAATTGCGAGTCGATGGACACCACCAGCTCCGTCAGCCGCGAGCGAAGCAGCGTCAGCGATGGGTACAGGTAGTTCGTGATCAGGTTGGGGAAGTATTTGCGAAGGCTTTCGCCTATCTGAAGTGAAAAGAGATATATTCACATCAATACCACACATTACACATAGTTACTACCACAGATCACAGAAACTAAAGGGAGATGTGACAAGGGGGCGGGGCCGGTGTCGCAGCAATATGCCCAAAAACAGAACACATTGCTCGTGAAAGCAACGATGACAGCAGCGACGTCATAATGTAAACAGTTTACATTGCTTGCGTAGTACTAAAGATTATTCGAACGTTGAGTACTGACACCGCAATCAAATGGATAATGAGCACATATTTTCATTACTTCGTGTTGTGAATTTCAAATGCGAAACGGAGTTTCGAACTCAGCGCATTAGTTGGCATCTCTCTATATCTCTATGGTTACTACGTATGAAAGTACGAGTATATGTAATATTCAAACAACTTCTTAGAATAATACACAGCAAGCAAAACGTTGTTCACATAGGAGTTAATTCTCTACGAGCGAAATAAGAACCTAAACAGCGGTGGCTACGTGTCATGTACAAAAAAGTTCTCAGAATACATGGCAAGCAAAACTAAACTTCACGTAGGAGAGTTAATTCTACGACCAACTCAAACATAAAACTTGAAACCGCCTAGTTGTACCTTGTGTGTTCCTTTTCTTTCTGTTCTGTTATTTGGTGTGCAATAAAGAGTATTATTATATTATTATTATGAACTCAAATGCCGATTACAAAAATACCAAATCTAAGTTTTAAATCACCGTTGGTAGCATCGATCTGCTGCTGCAGGTATCCTGGCATTCTTCTCCACGGCCCTCAATTGTATTCTGCTATCTTGTGATGATGTAAACATTATTGACGTCAGCAGCGGCGGCAGGCCCACGACCCTCGTGTCCAGGTGCACCTGCGAGCTGCTGCATCTATATGACGTCACCACTCACCGGCGGGACGTTGCTCTTGAGCCACCTGAGCCTCTTAAGCCACCTGAGCCTCTTGAGCCTCTTGAACCTTGGTGTCCAGGTGCACCTGCGAGCTGCTGCATCTATATGACGTCACCACTCACCGGCGGGATGTTGCTCTTGAGCCACCTGAGCCTCNAAAAAAAAAACATAATTATAAAAATATCAATCTAAAAAGTAGCTCATTTAGGGTCAAATGGGCGAACCTTTATTCAAAATGACCTAACATACGAAGTTTGTCTAACGTTCTACCAAACACCTGTAGGTATATTTTATATATTATTATCAGGGATCGAAATAGGTGGTACCTATCAATTTACCTAACCCTATTCGCGACGAGATGATTGAGCTGGATGAATCGAAAATTCCCTGGGAAAAATTCCGATTTTTTGTGGAGACCAATGAGATAAAGAAAACTCAAACCAACCAAAACCAATATACCAAACGGGGTACCCTGTAGATTAATATCAATCGAAACGCAAAATGCACAAAAGTGATGTGATAGTTTCCAAGAAATTAATAACATACGGTTTTGTTAATTACAGAATTTAAATAATCCTTTGTAGGTATTTTTTGTTGTCTTGTGATTTCCTATACCTAAGTGCGTTGTTTTATTATTATTACCTACTAATACATAATAAAAAAAAATACCTATGTATATCTCGAAGTATAAATCTAGAAAAAATTGATAATTAGCATCTTGTATACCTATGTATTTAGATTATCTTAAACATTTTATAATAACCTATACATGTTTAAAATGACGTAGTAAGTAGCTACTTAGATCACTTTCATTCAGCCGCCGAACTACTATAAGTACCGAGTGTACCATCTGCGCTACAAATTCTTTATAGAAAAACAAAGAAGCGGAGCGTGCCGATGTGCGACACAGCCTCCCCGTGCGAACGCTAGTGAAAGACTGAGCTCCCGCATTGCTCTCGAGAAGTCCAACAAAGCCAACAAAGTGCCCTCCCCACTATCCTGAGCAGCCAACACATCATCGGCCACTTGAAGCAGGGCCGTTGCGGTACTGTGGGCCTTACGGAAACCGGATTGTTTCTGAGGGAGGATATCATTTTGTTCCAAAAACATCTTCATTTGATCTGCCACAACTCTCTCTAGAACCTTAGATAAGCATGGCAGAATACTGACAGGGCGCAAATCAGACAAAGAGGTCGGCAACAATTTCTTTGGTATTGGTTTAATCAGCGCTTTCTGCCAGTCTTTAGGGAAAACACCTGTGGTGATCGACCTATTTACAATTGACGTTATTGTTGCAAGGGATTGTGGCAAAGTCAACAATATCATGTCAAGAGAGATACCATCTAATCCTACGGCATTTGATTTTAAACTTTTCAATATTTTTAGAACCTCGATTTCATTAACCTGTTGTATATTAAATTGATTGGAAACTATGCAATTATATTCAAAAAAAGTCAATTGGGATATGTCCACGCTGTCATCACCAGGAACATTTAAAAAATGACCATTGACTACGTTAGGGTCACTGCAAATAGTGCCTGGGTTGTCAGGCATTGTTTTTAAACGCACATGTTTTACGAGCGAGACGATTCGTAATGACTCTCGAAAACAGCTTGTAGACATGGCTCGGAAGTGAGATGGGTCTATAATTCTTCAACAAGGTTTTGTCGCCTTTTTTGAAGAAGAGTATCACCACACTTCTGTGCCATACCGTAGGCGTTTTTCCTTCGAGGATGACGGAATTGAACAGCTTCTGAAGAGCCTTCATCCCCTCGGTCAAAAACCCAACTGCGTATAAATGAACAGAAAAAAGATAGAGACAAGACAACTTAGTGTTCATAAGTGTAGTAGGAGTGGGAGGCATTAAATGCATATCACCACCAAAAAAAGTAATTGATATCCTATATGCATATTAACGTAAGGGCCTAATTATGATAAATCAAAAAGTTTAAAATGAAGTAAGGTTCAATGAGTTCAAAAGTTAAAACCAACAGTTTAGGGTAAGGGTGAATTGTATTATTAAAAGGAATTTAGGTCCTTTAAATCATTTATTTCCCCAAAAGTCGTATTCAGACGACTAAAAATGTTTAAGGTAAGGGACATTTTTTTAAAGATATCAACATTTCAAGTATACCAATCGATAGAGCCGAAAATTCTGAATGCGTTGGTATATATAACTCATTTTGGCCAAAATGTCCCTTACATTAATTGATACTTCCACCATCGATAAGTTACTACCAACATACCTTTACATCCCTCGCATTCCTCTGGGCCGTAGTCCCCTAAAAATGCAATAAAAACTTTTTTTAAAAGAGTGGCAGTAATCCCATAAAATTGGTAGTCCGTAAAATACCGGGCGTATAACCGATGAATATTTAGTGAGACAGTAACCGATCTGGAATCGAGATCTAGTTAATACGTGACAAGCTTTGCGAGCATAAAAAAATCGATTCCGCTTTCCGGTACCAGCGAGAAGATTACCTCTCATATTTATTTCATGATCGCTTTTTCTCGCGACTTTACTCGTGTGGATTTCGTCTGTCACCAAAATTTTTATCGAATTAGGTGACATGAGAAATTAGTGAATTATCATGCCTATTCATCTGACTGCGCCAGAAGGAAAAATGTTTTTCATCTACTGTCTCACTCGCTTCAAGTTTTAATTTTGAAAAAAAAATTATCATCATCATTATTTTTCAATAACACGTATAATAATATGACAGGAACATAAAAGTTATTGGAAAATAAAGATAGTTTAGTGCTCTCACCCACTAGGTACACGACAAGTCAGCTAAATGCAGCTACAAGTGGTTCAAACCTGGTCAAATAAAGGTACATAAGTGAAGTCACAAATCCAAGTCATAACAGGAAAGTCATAATTGTTTTTATAAATAAGCTTTCAAAAAGCGCTTTTTAGAGAGTTACCTTATGACCTTTTAGCCCTTCAAGCCCCGTGAATTGACAAAATAAATTGTTACGCGGTCTTTACGCGGTCTAACGGTTGGGGCAAAAATTTCGATGGGTTAAATGATTTGTCAGTGGTGTTAACACTAGAGTACACGCGTGGCCTACTATAGTAGACCAGGGTAACATTTTACGCTATAACTTTTTTAAAACTTGCGCCAGAGAGCTGGCATTCCAGGAAAGCCTCGTTTACTAAATTTGTCAATAAGCCAGTAAAGCTTGGGATGCTAGCGCTTGCGCACTTTTCTAAAATTGGCCGTCAAAACTGCGGGTCTAGTCAAAACCCCGAAATCAATCATCAAAAAAATTATGGAAGACTTGCAACTAATGGATTTACTACGTGTAACAGGCAGTAGAAAGTGTTGAATACTATGACAGATAAAAAATAAATCATATTTTTCCAGTAAATTTAGTTTCTGTTAACATGGATCTCAGAGTGCAATTTTGGCCCAAAAAATTAAATCTTTTAAATCTATTTATAATATTTGATCCCAAATAGTTATTTAGAGAAACTTTGATTATAAAAGAACTATAATAAACAATTTTATTATTTCCATAGAAATTTTATTCATAAATTGCTTACAAACTGATTAACAGTGAATTTAAATTGGCTTACCAGAGTAGGCCGCGCGTGTATTGGTGTAAAAAAAGGGGCGCGTGTACTGTAGTGTTAAAAGTAACTGATTTCTTAATTTTTATTTATTCTGTCTCCTCTAAAAACGTTGGTATTGTCAAAAAACGCATTTATGTTACAAGTTTGCATGTTTGTCTATTGATCTTCATGAATATTAATGTAATATACACCTGTGCGGCCAAAAATCATAGCGCAGATTGAAGCAAACATGCCACGAATAAAAAGTTAGAGGGGAGGAATAGGGTTCTGTCTCTAATAAAGCAATAAAAGAGAAAATTGTAAAAAGTTACCACGGATCACATGAATCAAGATCGAAAATACTTTGATGCGTAGGTTATGAAGGGTTTCGCACGAAATGCATGCCAATTCTAGAAATTATTATACACAGACTGTGCTGAGTAGGTTAGATCAACTTTTTATATATTTTTTTAAGTGTATTCACATTCAGTCATTGTAATATTTTCAATGTAACCCACATGACTTTAAATTAATATCCCATGTCATTCTAATTGTTTTTCTAACTAACAGTCCCTTCACTACACAACCCTAAACCTCACCCGACCGTTAGTTCGCAAATAAAAAAAATATTTCAAAAATGGAACATGGGTTGAACCCGTCAATGCCGTTGGAACGTTCCGGCGTCAAAGCGCGCCTCGGGCGGATATTGGCTGGCTCACGGCTTGTGACGACTTCCGATCGGTGTTGGCACACGCGGTACACTCGGCAGTGGAAGGGTTAAGGGAAATGTTGTCACCCCAACTCTCTGTCTGATAAATAAAGTTAGAATGTGTTTTTTTTTAGGTTTTTATAAGCGTAAAACAGGAACGGCAAAGGGGTTAATTTACATCTAATTGTATAGCTTGCAAATAAAAATCAGTACATTAGAAAAATAACACTCACTTATTTAAATATTGTTTTATTTTATTTTATTACCAATATTTTCCATAACACGTTCAATTTAATACGCATTGTCGCCAATTTTGTAACTAATTAAAATCTCAGAACTAATGATCATTCACAAAATATACTTATTAATACATTATGAAATACAAAATAATTATACTAATGATTAAATTATTTAATATCACCCAATTGTCCAATTCATCATTTGATTTCTACGAATAGAGCCGAATAAAGCCTATAGAATGTGATACTCCCTAACCAGTTACAACAAAAAATAAAGTGCGTAAAAAATACTTCACAAACATTTTGTATCCGACTGTACACTCTGGAATAGGGTTGTCAATCCCTAAAATCTTGTG